TAATATTTGTATTTTAATATTTCAGCATAGGTAATGAAGATACTGGATTGGTGGTGAAATATTTACAAGGAAATCTCTTGAGGTGTCTACTTCTGATTTAATTGAGGCTGTAATATGTTAATCAACGTCAAAAATGATGAGGTAAGTAATTTAATTTTTTTTTTTGTTTAGCAAGTAAGTATTTTAGAGGGATAAAAATCATAAGATAAGTGTTTTTATATTGATGAGGTAATAAAGTCTCTCTACATGTTGTACCTTTAACTTTTTTATTGATAAAAAAATTGTTTAATTGATTAATTAATATTCCAATATTTAAAATAATCAATTGTTTATCAATCAGAAAAGTACTTTTCATTACTTTCTAGATCTTCAATTTAACTATTTATAAACAAATAATTTTAGTTAAAAGCTTTTATCGATTTAAAAAGCGAAGAATGATTTGATGTTAAAATATAATAGTTTTGAAGAACAAATTACTTAAAGGAATAAAAAAGAAACCTCTAATTTTGACAAATCTATCAACACCTGACCTTTATCACATTTAAAATTATAGTCTGGGCCAATAAATTTTCCACTTGGATAATTATTTATCAAGCTCTACGACCTTTGATCTAATTAATCTTATTTGCTGGCTGTCAATATCAGCAAAAGAATAAGGAAAGTCCTTTCTCACAGTAATACCTCAGTCAAGAATGTTTCCCAGTACTCTAGTGTACCAAGGAGTGAGAGAGTTATGATGAGGGGAAGCTGTTGGGACTCGATTTAATTAAATAAAAGATGAATTAAGGTAGAAATGAGAGAGAAAGAGAGATAGAGAGAGTATTCCCAGTTGTACTTGATCGACTCAATGTTTTCCTCTGCTTTACTCTTCTTATTGAAGAGGCCAACAGAATTGAATAAGTTTCATCAGAGTTTCTCACTGAAAAGTTTGATTAGGAATTTTTCTTCCCTTTGGTATATCTCTCCAAGAAATCTATCTCTCCAACAATATTTTTTAATATAATTTTTCCAAACAAACTACTTGTATGTCATTTATATTGAAGAAGAAGAAGAAGAAGAGCACATCTCCAACCATCTCCACCAACATCATTCAAACTTTCTACTGATTTTATTATTGAGATTGTAACTCGAATCACTTATATATCTTTTTCTGTAGCTTAACATTAAGCTGCACGTAATACTAGATACTACGTGACGGTATAAAGCAAGTTTATCTCTCCAAAGAGACAGAAAATATCTATGTATGTATCTAAAAGTCATGAAGTTACTTACAATAACATAGACATTTTATGTCAATGATTAAATGAAATATACATTGGAAAATGTTGTTTCTTTAATTTCCGTTATTCATCATACACTCAGTTGGAGTTGTCTTGCTAAAGTAAATAGACTTGTCGTTATGTAAATAGACCAAGGCTGACCATACGTCGACTTTACTACTACTCGTTTTCAATCTTTACTCTTCAATACTCAAAGCACTGAATTGGTAGAATGCTTCGAGGGATTTTATCGCAAATAAAGCGATCGATAATCAACTGAGTTTAAAACGTTACGAGGAAATTGAAAGAATAATGCATTTTATGACAAATTTAACGACCTTCTTTTTATTATCTTGGCAATTTATTATTAATCAGGAATTATTTTTAACAAAAAAAAAAGTTATACGAATATTTTATGTCTAGACAACGAATTTTCCATCAAAGTTTTCCTCTATCAACTCCAATGAAATGTGAAAAATATTTTTTTTCCATTGTTTATAACAAATAGCAATTGTTAATAACAATGTCTGATTGTCTGAAATTATATGCAGTCATTACCAACAATATTTCGTCAATGTTGATCCGATTCATCATCAATAATGTTCATTCAGTAGCTGGAAACTTTTTTTAATTGTTTACAACAAATTGCTATTGTTATAAACAATATGAAATAGCTGAGAGTCATGTGTGGTCATTGACAAGAGTATTTAGTTAATATAGATCCAATCTATCAGCAGCAATCATCACTTCATCAGTGGCAACTATTTTTTAATGTTCATAACTCATTTAAATTGTTATAAACAATATGGAGTTGTCAAGAGTCATGTGTAGTTGTGTACAACAATACTCTGTTGATATTGACCCGATCACATATTAATATTGATCATCCAATAGCCAGAATGTATTTCCAATTCTCCATCACTCTATTTATTTTATAGTTTTTTTGTTATAAAAAAAAGGGCTCGACCGAATTAGTTAAAATTTCTCTCGGATCTTCTTCATTACATTATCTTTCGAATAAAATTCATACAAAGTCAATATCTTCATTCATTCTCGAGATTTCGTGGATGAAAAAAATCCAGACATACGTACGGACAAATGTACGTACGTACACACATTCAAAATATGAAGATACCATGAAATTCTGAATTACAGTAATCGACCCCTCTACAATGATCTTCTAAGGGTAAGTTAATAAACCCAAGACATTTTATTTGTTAATAAATGAGTTTATTTATAATTATGAAGATAACTTTGTTGATTCTATTGAATATTAATTCCATCAGTATTATTACTTGTTGTTCAATTAGAGTAATTATAGAAATACTATCTCCAAAAGTCTCGAATAAAAATGAATTAATAACATGAGAACATTTTGCTTCTGGTCTATCATACACATCTAGAAGTTGATCTAAAATATACATTTAATTAACATCAAAAAATTTGAATTATTATTTTATAATCAATTCTTTGATTCCTTCTTCTACTCTATTACTGAAATTAATTCCTATCACTCTTATTCAATCAATTTATTCAATTTTTAATTAACATAAATTGATTGATTATTTTCTTCATTACATTATCTCACTAGTTATCATTATTACTATTTATTTTATTAAATTCTTGTTTCAAAGTGAATCTTAATGAGCATGACAGAATCATATGATGCTTATTGAATAAATATAATATACAATTATTTTTTAACTTGAAAAAATTGCATCGTACATTACTATTTTAAAATGAACCTTATTATATTTTAATTATAATTGTGAATATTATTTAATTATAGTTTAAAATTTATTATTATAATAATTGTTAATATTTTTTTTTTTTTTTTTTTAACTTTTAATTGATTGATTTATGATGCTCCTTTATTCATGCATTTTTTAGTGAATTAATTCCAGTACACAGTTGATAAGTTCCAACATATCTTAATCAACAAAGACCTACAGTTTATCATACAAAAATCATCCAAAATATTTTATACACTTCTCAATTATGCTTTTATTATTTTTTTTTTCTTTCAATTCATTTCTTATCAACTCAATTCTATTCACTGCTCTTTTTTTTTTTCGTTGTCCTGAAGTCATTCATTTATTAATGATATTTATATATAAATGACAGTTTTATTATTATTATTATTAATATTATTATTGATGCTGTAAAATTGTTGAGTTATTTTTTTAATTAAAATCTTATTGCATTTGAGTGACAATTATCAACAAAAATGATACAAAAACATTTTTATAAATAATTAGGGATAATTTTTATATTTATCCTTGAGATATAAAATTAACTTTAGGTTTTATAACAAAATAAATTTATTTATACAATAATATAAAGATGGAGATAATTTTTTTCTTTTGTTGTAATTATAGTATAGTACAATGTATTAATTATAAAACAAATAATTTAAAAAAATATTTTTGTTTAACAAGAAAATTTGGAATTTATATAAATATATTTAATTAATAAACAAAGCATTGTAATAAACAATTGATAATAAATATATTTTTATTTTAATAATCGCCAAATGGTGTACCTATTATTATTTTTTTTTTTTTTTAATTGAATTAATTAATTCAATTATTGAATTTATTTAATTAATAACTAAGAAAAGAATTCTCTCCATTAATTAAAAGTAACTGAAAAATATTTTAATACAATAAAATTTTTATGTATTATAATGACAATGACAATATAAATATAATAATTTTTTTTTTTTTTGGAATTTCATGTAAAATATTTAAATAAATATATATTAATGTACAGATAATAAAATATTAACTTCATCTGATATAGAATATATATTAGTAAAAGTATTTTGGTTTTAGAATCGTTGAAATTTATCTCATTTATTTTAGAATCTCATCTTGAAAGATTAACACGATGGATTATTTTATTTATTTATTATTATTAATATTTTTTTTTTTAATTCAACAAATGATTGTCTAATAAAAGACTAATCAAAATTACCATAACAAATAGTTCAAAAAAAAATAAAATTTCATACATAAATTACATTAAAATTGCAATTTTCGTTATCATTTTCCACAAACATAATAATGTACATATCAAAAACAATTATAAAATTACTCTTCAACATTTCAATTACATGAATAAAACTTTTTACAAGTCTGCAACATCGTCAAAAATTTATTTTACCATTATTATAATAATAAAAAAGGAAAAAAAAATGTAAAATACTTTATTCAACATATTATTTATCAATAGCAGTAATTGATTTCATCAATATCCAAGGCTTTGATCATCACCATTGCTAAGATAAAAGTCCTTTTAATTATTTAGATCATTAATAAAGACTAAAATTGATCAACATTGATTTACCATATCTTTCCAACACTCTTGTCCAAATGCAATATCATAAAATAAGTCTCAAAATAAAAGGAATTAAATTCTAAAAAGCACTGACAGTCTGAAAATGAGACTCTTGCTTGAAAATAAGTGTCTAGTAGCTTTAGATAAATTTTTTTAATTACATAAAAAAGCTTTATCTTTTTCAATGACCTTGAAATAAGGTATGCCCGAGAAAAAATGATTAGATCTGTACATTGGCCAGATCTAGCTAGATCTGATAGATTAGATGTGAAAAGATCTTAGTTAATCTAATTATTTTTATTATTAGATTAGGCTTGATCAAATCATAGCTGTGCAAATCTAACTAGGTTAGATCAAGCTTAAGTAGATCTGATCATTTTTTTCTGGGTATTGTCTTTTTGATAAGCTAGTCAACATAATTACAGTAGAGTCTCTATAACATGAACGACTTGAGGCTCTGAATTCGAAGAATTACCATTTTACAGAACACTATTCTTATTTCTACACTGCAAATCGTAAGAGTGAATAACATACTTGGTTTCGTAGTGCAGAAAACGTTCGTTTTCTCCACCCTTTTTTTTTTGTTTGTAGGAGACCAAATTATGGAGACTCTACTGTACTTATTTTTTTTACAACTGATCTTTACACATAGACAATTATCTAATGACTTATTACTTTAATAATGGCACACTTGTTTTTATAAATAAACAATTCTAAAAAAGAGGGCGCGTCAATGAATTGATCCTTAATGAATAAAAAATGAATAAATAATTGAATTGAATTAATAAATGCAAAACTTAACAGTTAATTAGCATTTCAATTAACGATAAGATAAAAGTTATAATAAGATAATAGCTTATTTTGTCGAAGGTACTGTAAGATATTTAATTATTGTGCTAATTTAATAAAGGAAATAAGTTCAACAAACTTTCATTACTGGTTTAACTGTAACCAAACTGCACCTTCCGACACTGACACAACCATTTAATAATCCTAGCATTTTTTTCAACAATACTAGGTGGTTCGCTTACACGATGACTAGTCTCTTCATTGCTAACAGTACAATTATTCCCTTGCCACCGTGGTCCTGTTCCATTACTCGACTGTTGATTATTATTATTCCCGGACCAAGGATGAAGGCCTAGTGCTGAATCCACTGAGCTGACACTATCGAAAAAGACTGGTGATGATGTGTTTGATGTTGGTAAAGCAATCATCTCATAATTATCTGAATCCAGTCCTAGCTTATCAAAGAAATCTTCCAATTCTGTTACTGATCTTGGTGGACGAGGTTGCTTCACTGATCGACCATTATCATTTCTCCAGTAACGATCACTTATGTCTGACTTTGAGCGAAGAATTGGTCTTCCACGACCTTCTTTCCATCCATCAGAAAATCTAGAATCATTCATTCATTAAAGACTCATTCAACCATTGCTAATAATTGTGATATCATGGAAAATAAAATGTATTTACCTCGAATTACCAGTCGGACTGTAATCACCAGGGTTATCACTGCTTTCTGACCCAGGGCTAATGTTTCTAGGTACAATCGATTGATTACCACCAGTGTAGCTTTCCTTCCGTGATCTATCTCGTTCATTGGAATGTTGAGTTGACGCTCCGCTATCACGACGCACGTGACTCCAGCAATCCTAGATGATTTCAAGTGAGTAATGAATTAGAATAAGTAAATGACCCATAAAAAACACTTTCAGATCTGATCAGATCAGATTTGATTTGAATATAACCTCAAAAGACAATGTTAATTAAAATGAAAACTTCATCAAATTAAAATTTTATTATTAAATAAATATTTTAATGTCATGATTATAATTTAGTTTCAGAACTAAAAAGAACCTTTGATAAATTATTCCTACCTGTATTCGAGGAGGAGGTTCACTCCGATGAGTACAATGTCCAGAGGAGCCTCCAGAATCTCTAGCAGTAGCTCCATGACTAAGTTTACTAGATCCCGATGATTTTTGTGTGCGTTCTCCAGATGATAATACACTACTAGCATCACCACCACCAGATCCAAATGATCTTCTAATATGTCTAGAGCTAGAATTGTTGATTAAATAATTTATTAAGCAATAATTGTTCATGATATTTCAATTGGTAGCTATTAGATTCTATTAATCTTACCTACGATAACCAATTGAATCACGTTTGAAACTATGTTCTGAATAATCAGAACTACTTTCACAATCAGGACAATTGGTACTTGAATGGTAATGGCCTGAGGCTAGTGCTTTCGAGGACTTTGTCGAAGTGCGAGGAGATAAAGAGGATCGACGTCTTATACTAGTGTGTAAGTCTGGTAATGATTTATGACAAATAGTATTCTCAGTGGGCGGCGAAATATTTGACTTCCTGTTGCTTTTACTTGACGAGTGAGAATTGGAATTACTTCGGCCAAATTTGAAGTGAACATCCGGTGTATTTGAGTGCTAAAAATATTATTAAATTAATCAGTCTATTTATTCATTGTTTTTTTTTTTTTTAAATGATATATATTCATTTACATGAAATATTATACTAGAGTAGATAAGTGGTGTAAAATTTACCCTAGTTATTCTTCCATCAACATTATCATCTCTACATCCTGATGGACTTCCGGTTGAGTATTTGAACTTATCATCTCGGCCACTTGTAGGAGTAAGAGCTGGAGGAGTATCAGGAAAGAATACATTCTCTTTACTGTCTGTATTGAGTAGCCTTCTTAATTTCGTCTGTAGCTGATCACTACCGGTACCACTAGGTGGTCCGGATATCGTACGTCGTTGAGGTACTGATACTAATCGAGGACTTTTTGGTGGTAGAGTGGGTGGCAGTGTACGTTGAGGACTTACTGTATCTTCTATAATTTATTTAATAATAATAATATTATTTATTATAACAATTAAAAATAATTTCAATAAACTTACGTCTATCTTGGCAATTAGTCCAACAGCAAGGACCAGGTGTTAAAGACAGCTGTGATGATCCTTGGGTATTACAGCTCACAGGATTCCCGCACTTCCTTAAAAGCCGTGGGGGAGCACCAGGTGCTGTCGATGGTGCCACTTGAAGATGCCCACTGTTCTTTAATTCCTGCTTTCGGTCAAGCACTATTTCACTTTTTACGTAGAATGCTTTGGTCTCTTGGAGTAATTCAACGGCACTTTTTCTTTTGCCTGGAAAATATATTTTTTTGTTTAATAAAATTATTTCAAGATAATGAAAGATATCAGGTTATCTAGATAAATATTCATGCTAACAGTCGATAGATCTTAAAAAAAACATCTAACCAGATCTCTATAGGATAGATCTAATTTTATATGAAAAGATCTAAATGAATTTTATTGTATAAATTAATATGCAGTAGTTAGTCTAACGAATCTAAATAGATCTATTATTCATTAGATCTGTATATTGACTGAATCTAACTATATCTGATAAGATGTCATTTGATCTAATTATTTTAATTATTAGATCAGGCCAGATTATTAAATCTATTTGGGTCTGTACAGATTTGATATGATCTTATTTTATTTAATCACGTCTGATTCGTAGATGTGATCAGATCAATTATTATTTATCTAAATCTAATCAACCTAATTTTGAGATCTAATTCAATCTAAATAGATTTTATATAATATAATGCACTATTTTTTATTTTAACCTTACTCTAGCATTGTTTTACCATTTCCAATACTAAATATCTTAAAAAGTATCTTATAAAAAATATTTAACAGTTCATAAATAATGTGTAAAATTTTTAAATAATTCTCTCGATTGATATATAAAAAAAGGTGAGGTTAAGTTTGAAAAAATTACCATCCCAATCACTGAAATGACAAAAAATCTTATTTAATATTAAAAAAGAAAATAGGGACTGTATAATAATATTAATAATACCCGTATGGTCGACAGTCTGACAATGCTGTTGACGGACATAGGTTGGTAGTGGTGGTTGTCTTGTTTGCATGTTCCAATAACCCCACAACTGTTGATTCTGTTGAGTTGTAGAAGTCGTTGGTTTACTAGGTAATCTTGCCATCGCAGTCATCATTTCTGTACCTTCAAATACCAAGTCTTATTCCTCTAAATACTCTGCAGCCAACTCATCATCAAAAACCTTTCGATAGTTGATTTGTTTCGGCCACGTTTCACCCTCATTTTTAAGTCAGCTGTGTCGTTTCTACAACAATAAAATATTTTTATTTAAAACGTGACGAAACAAAATATAAGTATATTATCTTTATTTGTTGCCATATAAGAGCACGAACTCAATGGGACTTTTAATAGTGCGTTGGTAAAGAAAATGAATAAAGTAGTAGGGAGGTTGATTGTCGAACGGGATTTCCATTCAAGTCATTTGATTCTCTATAGTTACCGTTTATTCATTACAAAAAAAGTACTGCAAGGTGTCTAGTTTACTTTTTATAATTTAGTGTACACTGTACGCATTAATTGACTTATATTACACGTCCTCATTTTATTTCTTTCTTTCGTTCCTATGTGGTTTAATAAAATCTATTTATATCAATATCATACATTTCTCTAGACCATCAAAGCTTCATCGATAAAACACGTGTATCTCCAAGCTTTGTTCCTCACTCATGTTATGAATGATACAATTATTGCAAGAAACCTTGAAATAAATTAAAAGATAAAACTTTCATTCCTGCACCAGTCTGCTATATTTTTATGATTGATTTTCTGTTCAAATAAAAATATGCTTTCATTAAGTTCTGTTTAGAAATCTACAGCTCTGATGGTTCATTGTTATATAAAGATAGAAATTTAATGAATATCCATTATTGAATAAAAAAAAAGTTGTAACAAAAATAAACGAAAGTTAAAATATCAAAATTCCTTGAGTCTAGATCACAGTGGAGGTCTCCATATTATTTTTTTTTTTATCACCAAGTTGGTGTTAAGTTAAATGTAGAACAATATTTGAATGACGAAAGAGATAATAACTATTTACTGCAGGAAGTCACGGTAAGTATTATTGTGTACGTGACATGGTATGATGATTTTAATAATATATAATATCAAATTTAAAATCTCTAATTTATATCAATAAAAATGAAATAAATTTCAATTCAGTCATTTAATCATTTACCATCAGCCAGTTGCATACTTTTTCATCAATTATCATACCCATAAATAGTTTCAATTAAATCAAATCTCGACAAACAAATCAATATAGATTTATTTGTTATTCTATTCTTTCCATTTGTATGGAGTATGAATAACCTTCAAACTGTTTTTTTAAGTAAAGTATCTTTGGAGGGTCCATTTTGCCCTCTTAAAATACTTATCCACCAAAAAATGAGTATTTCTTAAAATTTAATGTAAAATAACACATATATAATAAATTATTTAATCAATTTAATTGAAATCGATATAACACATGATTTATTTTTATTTCACCAGTATTTCTTCTTTCCTGTAAATTTCCTATCAAGTATATTGAATAGTTTGACATTGAATTCGCTTCATGGTGCATGAAGAACGTGGAGACAAAGCTTTCTATACTTCCTATGTATATATATATATATATTAGATACACTTGTGAAGGGAGATAGGAAATTATCTGAGGGTGATCGTCAGTTGGGTATGCACTTTATGAGTGCATTTTTTTTTTCTACATGATTATATCGAACGTAACGGTATTAAATATGTATAAAGGTATATTAAATTTTTATGGTTCGACAGGTGTGGAAAGAACAAAAAAAAATTAATTACAACATTTTTTTACGGATTTGTCAATAAGATAAACATAAAATACATCAGCTAGAAATCTATTGACGGAAGTTGCAACAGAAAATAGAGAGGAAGAAAGGCTTTGTTATTTTACTGTTTAAAGAAAAATAAAATTAGAAATTGATTATAAAAAAGAATTATTAGATAATGGAAAAAGTATTTAAACAATGATCAGCTAATTATTATTAATAAAAATAAATTAATTCTTTGTATAGATGATAATTAGCAAGATAATGAATCTGCAGTTAAATGAGTCAAGTTAAAAAGAACTAAAATAGTATCTAATCTGTTTTGACTAAAATATAATAAACACGATAAGTAACACGGATGTATTTAAAATATTTGAATGATTATTGTTACAAAGTTGGACAATAGAATATTTTCACTTTACGCTTGCATGGATCCTACACTGTCATTGAGTTTCTAATGGCTATACAACTGTTTTTGCCCACAACCTGTCTGTCTATAAAAGGACACTGGCATTGTAACAATTAAATGAAAATTTTTAAATAGCAGCTCATAACAAAAGCATCTCACTTTACTTTGTGCTTCAATCAATATCATAAATATCTAGCTAATAAAAAAAATTATTCATTGTTAAGTCCGTCTATTTTTATTAATTTATAGAAATAATAATTATCATTTAACTGCAAAGCTAAATAGTCCATGGGTTAGTCCTAAGCTGTACGTTTTTTATTTATTAACATTTGCATTAACATTCGCCAAAATGGAGAACTTTAATGTTTATGTCTTTGACTTGAATAAATTAAAATATTAATTTATTAATATTATTATCCTAAAATAAAACATTACCATTATTAGTTTATTTAATAAATTAAATACTTATTTACCCAATTGACATTTTTCCGTCTATTTATATGAAAATATAAACACCAAAGTTCTCACGACAGTCACACACCAAAACCAATTGAAACCAATCCTCAAGCAATAAATTATTATTATAGTCTATCACATTACAGTGATAGTAAACAATCACAAAAACCACCTAGTGAATCTGTGGAAAGAGAGAAAGCTACTTAATGATAACATAAAAAGCATACAAAGAAAAAAAAATAGATGAAAATAAAAAAAGTACTTAACAGAACATTATCAAGACTCATTATTTTCAAATATATGTAACATGTCAAGGCTTTTTTTTGCTTATACATGCACGCACTTATCCGAAGAGCGTGACGATGTAGGGTGTACAAAAAGGTTATTGATCGAATATATATGAAATAAATTCAACCGAGGATAAATTAATTGGAATTGTTTTGAAGATTCCTTGGGGTAAAAAATGATTTTTCAATAAAAATGTGTTACATATCGCTCCATGTTCCAATAAAATTCATTCAATCATCTTGAAGTAAGTTAGGTTTTAATTGAAATATTTAATATCTCACTAGATACCTGAAACACCACGAAATTCTATTGAACATCAAGACATCAAAGTTCTTACATCAAATGTCAATGAAATAAATAACCTTAAATAAAATCTATTACTTACTTATTATGATTAAAATGTAATTGCAAAGCAATATGGAAACTATTTATGATACTTACAAGTGATGTACTAAGGTCTAGTCATGTCAGTATAATCCATGAATAACAAAAAAAAGGTGTACAGGTGCACAAACTTTACAACAACGTCATACACTCACTGGAACGTGCTTTTTTTTTTTTATATTATTCAGTGAACACACTTGTACATTACTCCGATTATCATTTGTTCCAACAATAAGATGATCAATTAAAACAGATTTATCATAACACACATTAGGATTAATTGGTTGGAATGAGTTGATGTTTAATGTAACAGAAAATATAAATGAAAAAGACACGATGGAAGGTAAATAATATCAACGTTGTGTTGCTCAGACTCTGATACTGGAGTATATAATTTATTTGGTGGTGACCCTACGAGACGAGCTCTGATGTTCCCCGCCAGGATCCAGTCGACGTGGTGGAGGGAATTAGTCTAGTTCACTTGACTTCTTCAAGGTCGCAGCACTTTCGATTCATATTTATATACATTTGTGTGTTATGTCTTTTTCCTTCACTGTTTTCTAGCTTTACTCCTTTTATGGGAGTTAAATAATTTAAATAATTACTCAGATATCATTTAGATGACAAAACAGTTATTTTGTAATATTATTTTATCATAACATCGTAATATGAGTCATTGTTTACAATATTATTCTGAACTGCGTTAAGGTTATGTTTATGAATGTTTGGAGTTTTTACTTCTATCAGCATTTAATGATTAATCAATCATATGGAGGAGTTTAGAATATTTTATTTTAATTAATTGAAAATTATTTTTACACTTTGGTTGAAATGGATCGTGATAATCCTGTTATTTATGGCCTAGAGTTTCAAGTTAGTACTCAGTATTTTTGTGCATTGACAAAAACATTTACTCATTAGGTGTTTCATTTAAGAAAGAATGGTATTAATTTTTTTTTATTAAGTAGACCTTGCTTTTAACACCTTATCCATCTTCTGAATGATGTCTACCCATTGGTTCACCTATTTTAACTCTTTTTAAATTAATAAAATATTTTTTAAACTGAAAACAAAAAATTGATTGCTCAAATTAATGGTTGAAAGTATTTTATTGATATGAGTAAAGGTTTTTAAATAAATGTTGGATCATTGAATATTTTTTTCCAACACTCTATAGTTCTGAATCTCCTGTTTTAGGCCCGAGCACTATCAGCACAAAACGCGGAAACAGATATCGTAAGATTTCTAGTCGGAACCCAATCACTAAAGTTCGCCAGCAATCAGATACACTTACTAGAGTTGAATGATGAAACAAATACTCTTAAAACCCAAGTTTACCATCATGATGTTGGAGAAGTGTGGTCATTGCAAGCATCTCCAACAGATCCTGATAAGTTCATCACATCTTACAATACAATGGACAGTAAGAAATAATTTTACTTAGTTTATTTCCCAGTTCTATAAACAATTCATCATTTAGCTTTGCTAATAACTAGACCAGGGGTTGTGTGTGATGAGAGGAGCGCTCTGGAAGCTCCCGGAGCTTGGAGAATACACTAATGAAGTAGAAAGCATGGAGAAGGTATCAGATATTGATACCACGATCCATGGAGCTGATTTAAGGACCATTGTTTATCATCCAACAGAAAGTATTAGAGCTGTTGCGGTTGTTGATAATCATTTTGTTTTATGGAACTTGGAGGGACCAAGTCCTCAGGTAGGGAAAAATGCTTTATACTTAAAGCTATTTATTTTATTCATCTAAACATAAGCTCCCAGATGAATCCAACGATTATTCCAGCCTTCCACCATTGGAACACTGACTAGTAAAAGCCAGCCACGTTTCACGACTGGCAAATGGAACCCTCATAACGGATGTAATCAATTCGTTACTCTAAATGATAATAATGTAAGAGGATGGGATCTTAGAACACCTTCTAAGGAAGCTTGGACTATCATCCCTGCTCACTGCCAAATAGTCAGGTATTTTAGATAAACCTTAAGTCCTACATAAACTAATTTTTATTGATGGAATCATCTTCTAGAGACCTAGACTTCAATGTAAATAAACAATACATCTTGTCAACATGTGGAGATGATGGATACATGAAATTCTGGGACATCAGATCTCCAGCTGAACCAATAATGGCTAGAATGGAACACTCGCATTGGGTTTGGAATATAAAGGTTAATAAATTCCATGACCAGTTGGTGTTAACGTCAAGCAGTGATTCGAGAGTTATTTTATGCAGTATTCCTTCAGTCTCCTCTGAACCTTTTGGTCCAATCAGTCACGATGATGATAATTCATTGAACCAATCAATTAATGGAACCAAGTAAGAACAATTACTTATCAATTAAATGAATTAATTGTTTGATAAAAAAATATTTCTTTCAGATTAGAAGATGGAGTGATTGGGAAATATGAAGAGCATGAAGATAGTGTTTATGCTGTTGAATGGTCTTCAGCAGACCCTTGGACATTTGCGTCATTAAGCTATGACGGTCGACTGGTCATCAATAAAGTGCCGAGGAAATATAAATATAAGATTCTTTTATAAATATATTATTATTAAATTAATTTAAATAAATTCTGGAGAATGAATAAAAATCGTTGGCTTATTTTCTCCAGATGATACCCGTGCGGAAAGTTCATTTTTCTATTGAGAGGGGTTGAACTTTCCACACAGGTATGACGAAAAATCAGCCCTAGGGAGGAAAAGTAGACTTTTCTGATGAGAAATGTACCTTTACAATTAATTCTACTCCTTAATTAATGAATTAACTAATCAGTAATGTTACTAGACAATTTTTGGAATTAATATATTTTTGTGTACAATCAGAATACATATAATACAGTCTTTAATATATCAATAATAATTCCTTTACATAATTTTAAAATTGAAAGAACATATTTATAAAAACAAGTCTTTCGGTTTTTTTCTAGCATCATTCCTTTATAAATTTTTGCTTTTCTTAAATAATTAATCATTTTTGCTTTAGATAATTTCTTAATTTATCATTAGATTAAATATATAAACAAGTTCCATCTTCACTATTGCTTCCAGTGATTGCAGAACTTGAATCAATTCCTTTCGTACAATGTAGCAAATTTGTTTGTTTGTCTAATATAAATACCAATACAAATTCTTATCCAATTATCTATTGTTTAACAATACTTCCATCTATATTAAATATTTTTATAATAAATCATTACACAAAAAATATCATTGGTCATTTTTATCTATCGACATGAGTTTTTCTTTTTTCTTAGTCATAGAAAATGTTTCCAAAGTATATACAAACATTTTTATTACATCAATTTATTGAATGAATAATAAAAACTAATTAAGTATAAGTGTTGAATATTTATTGTGCGTTTTTTTTTTTATTTGCAAAAGTCAGAAAGTGAAAAAATGGATTTATTTAAAGCTTTTATATTATTTAAAATATTTATTTACACATAGACTCTTTTTTTTCTTTTTTTTTTTAATTTTTTTTATAATGCTTCAACACAATTATTGACCTCATAATTAAATGCCTCATAAAAATATGCTATCATTTATTTTACTAACAAAGATGATCTGAAGCAACAAAAAAAAAGTACGATGAATGTAATCACTTGATAATAACATTTTTTTTTCGTTATTATAATTCTTAGTACGTGTTGTTTAACAAATAAATAATAAATTAATTATATAACTTTCAATATAAAGAAGAAAACTATATTGCTTTAAAGAGTAAAAATATTTTTTTTTTTTTTTTTGCGTAGAAAGAGATAAAGTTCTTTTAATGAATTCATTAATTAAATACGAATAAATTGTCCTAATTTTGTGACTCCCATGATCGTTTAGATGGAGGAACTAAATGTTCGGGTAATCTCGTTGGTAAATCATAGCCATCAAGTTTGACATTTATTAGATGCATTGCCAAAGCGAACTCTTCAGCATCTAATTGTCCATCATTATCAACATCAGCGAGTTTCCAAATTTTTCCTAGTACGCTGTTTGGTAATTTAGACTTAATCATCTCTGATCTAGCAGCTAAATTAAAAGTAAATTAAAATAATTAATTAAAAATTCATTGATCAATTAATTTAATTATTATTATGATAGACTTACCTGAACCAGTGATCTTTCCGTCTGTAGGACCCAATGATTCAAAGACTGAATCATATTTATATCTTTCTTTATTAACAATCCATTCAGGTTCTCCAGCACCAGCATCCACACCTTCGCCTCTCTTGTATCCGAAGGGACTGATTTGATCCTCAACACCTTCGAACGCTCCTCCTACAAGTCATAATCAATTTAATTTTAATTGTCCAGTTGCATGGTACATCTTGCATCAAGGAAGTAGAGTGGAACATTTTATTCATGGGGGAAAAAGTGGGACTGCTTATGAGCAGGGAGTAAAGTCTACTTTATTAGTCCAGTCAATATAGAAGGCTTCAGTCCACTCCCATAAAAAACACCACTGCTTTCATTTCAACTAGTGTCTTTATCTAATGCACGGCGCTGCCTATAGCTCTGTCTCACTTAGATAAATGCTTGTTAAAAAATTAAAAATTGTCCATTGGACTGAAAATTTGCTCAAAATTGGAGTGAAACCTTCTATATTGACTGGACAATGATGCTAAAAAATTTTTAAAAGTGTGATTGAAAATATATTTGTTACCTTTTATCAAAGGTTCGGTGGTGGAAGATATTTCTTCATGAGGAATCATCGCCATGAGTTTAGCAATATCTTCAGCAAGCATTTTATCCACGACTTCTAACAACCTAGGTTTAAGAGGATTAAATTTCGAGAAGTCATGATGAGCTAATTTTTCTTGCATTTTTTTTAAATCTGGAAAATCTCCCGGTGAAATTTGATGTTCACGTTGAATTTGATCATAAATTTGTCCTAAATTTTTAATTAACTCTTTTTTCTTTGCATCTTTACCGAAAACATTCGGCATGTCTTTTTTCAATGCACTAATAATGTAAGCATGAACCTTAGCAAGACGTGCACGTTTAATTAAATCATTAAGTTTCCTTAAAGTAGCATTTTTAGGCAGTGATTGCATGTCTTTAAAAAGATCTTGTTCTTCAGCTTCAAACAGTCGTCGATTTACATCATAACGTAGTGGTTGATCCCAAAAAGAACCAATATAAACTCTAGCTACTTCAGGAGTTTGTAAAACCTTTCCTAATGACCACATCAGAGCACCGTAGACTCTCATCAACTGCTGATGATCAATCATGTCTGCTTTGTTCAGGACAATACGTATTTTATCATCATGTCCACGTAGAGCTTCAATTGATCGTCGAAATTCATCAGAAATATCCAACTTGTGAGCATCAAATAATAAGATAATCCTATCAACTCTCTCAGCAAACCATTCTAGAACTCCTGTGAAATCATAACCACGATCCACTCGTTGTTTTTCACCTGGAAAAAAATTATTCCTCAGTTAAACTCTGATAAATATTTTTTTCAAAGTATCCAGCATTGAATACATCATCATCTCCAATACCATTACCTGATAATATTCCTGGAGTATCCACTATTGAAATGCCTTTCAACACTGGCGAAGGAAGGGTCGAACACTGTAGTCTGTTGAGAAAAGCATTGCCGAATTTTGCCAAAGGCCTAAATTGTTTACTTGGATCAACTACTAGAGCATTTCCCGGTATCACTCCTTCCTTCTGACCGTACATCACCGCTATGAATCGATCTGTCGTCGGTTCCGGACCAATTCGTATCCCTGGAAAATCTCGTTCCAACAGATACTTGATAAATGTGGTTTTTCCAGTGGAATATTGACCAACCAACAGAATCATTGGTTTAGCATCGAAATCGGGGTCATCCAACTGTGGCGAGTGAAAGTCATAAAATTGGTAGTGTTGTTCTAATGGTAATAATTTTGTCTTATATATCTGATTCAGTCCTTGAGTCACATTATCAAAGATGTCCTGCTTATCTCCACCTTCTCGAGTCAACCAACTAAACATTTTGGGGTTATTTTTATTTATTCCTGGAATCAAATAATTGTCATGTTAGTTTCTAGTTAATTAGCTTGGAATAATAGCTAGATGATGACGTTAATGCATAAAAAATTGGATTCTTATTAAATAAAACAAAAAAAAAAGGTTAAGTTGAACTTTAATGGTTAGAAATAAAAATGAAAAACCTTCTTTTTTTATAATTGATTATATATTACAGACATTTATGATACAATTCGATAGATTGGGGCCACGTCACATGGAACTGACAACTCGGAGCAGCTTGATGAGAGTATCCGTTGAACCTTAACCTCATCAAAAATTTTTTGTGCTATTGAATGACCAGAAGGGACTTCTTAGCAGAAATTAATCCAATAAAATGACATTATTTGTTACAAAAATGATTATTTTTTTATTTAAAGGCATTCAGATGAATGAAAATTGCCAAAATTAACCTCTTTTGTAGGAGTTTAGATAGGAATAGTTGAATAAAATATTAAAATTACTCACAGTTACTGGACAATAAAAAAACTAGGTATTTAAGTCAACGTTCATGGAGCATAGATATCCAAGTACTGTAAAAGGCGGATTTCTGGAGACCTTGATAAGCCACGATACTAAACGAGACAATCTACTGTTAGTACTGTTCACAATTGTTCGTTGTATTCTGTGCAATACGCAGTCATGAGAGAGATGTATAGGTTACATATACATAATAATGATTGTGGATGTGGTAGTCCACTTTTCCGTGAATGAGTCAACAAGTCAGGGGAAATAGGAACGTATGTCACAACTTGGAGAACCCAGTAATATTAAATGTGTAAATTTTACTGCTGAATATTATTAAATAATCATTATAAATAAATCAAGACATCATTAATAATGTCATTGTTGTAAATAAATCCGTTTATAGACATTCTCTTCACTACATTAACCTAAAAAAAATTTTTTTTTTTTAAATTCATTGCTTTTTGTCTTGATGGGTGATTTTATTCTCTTTTGGACTGCAAAGTCAACTATTTTATCAAATTATTTAATATCTTTATCATATCTCAAGAATTATAACCTTTTAATCTTACACACCTTTGGTTTTACTTTTCTCCAATTTATTTCTGCGATTAAAAAAAAAAATGTATCGACACATTAATTTTAATAAAAAATTCAACGTTTAAATTTGTTGTTGAAAATAAGAAGAATGATATTTAATTGTTTAATTGGAGTATTTTAAATAATAGTTTATAGGTTAATAATAACATTTAGCATGATTTAAATAAAATACAGCTGCCAGCATCGATATGTAGATTAACTGGTTATTTAATCCAATGATAGATAGTCACAATCATTTGTCCTCAATTTCTAGTTTTGTATTCATGGACCAACGGAAACATGTGAATTAATATGAACTTGAGGGTTTGTAAATGTGCAAGATCTCTGTTACACTTATCACTAACAATATTATCTATTCAAAAAAAAAGTATTCCAATTGCCTAATAGGTATACCACACTCTAGTAATTTAAACAGCTGTATTTAATGTCAAAACTGCTAATACAATATCTAATTATTACTGATACAGTTCCGGTGATGTTTGGAATAAGGAATTTTAGGCTTGGGTTTCATCACAGTAGGATGTTGGAATTGATAACGAGGGATTTTAGAATGCTTTTGGTGTGTTGTTTTGACTTTCTCTAGCTGATTCTTGGTGTCAATGTCATCATTATTGCCTTGACTATCCTCAATTTTATGTAAGCTCATCCTAGATGTTGATCTTGATGGCAAAACACAGCCAAATAATCTAGGAAGCCAGTTAAGATCATCAATAAACCCATCTCCAACATATTTCTGAGTCACTTCTTGGACCATAATGTTTATTTGCGAATGTCTTGATGCTCTTCTAGACCTCGTGCTGCATGATGATCGCTTCCTATCAATCATTGCAGACTCTGTTTGCCTAGGAATCAAATGACTTGAAGATTTCTTTCTATAGAGTGCTAAATAATCATCAGATAATTCTTCAAATATTTCTTCTCTGCTTTTTTTCTCCACTTTTCTTCTATGCTTCTTAGCTCTTTTTGACTTCGGTGACTTCACTCTTGGTACTGCCAAGACATGATTGATCTTCTCAGCATCAAGATGAGTAGAAATATTGGTAATTGACCTGGTAAAGAAAGCCAGATGATGATTTATTGATTAATAATAAATAAAGAAGCATTCTAAAAATGATGAATGAATCAATATCATCATTTATTAGGAATCTTATTGCAAGTATTTACTTAGTATGTAGAGATTGTATTCTTGATAATCGTCGTTCTGATAAAACATTCTTCAAACGTTTGATAAAATTATACCAAAAGTCAATAATCCATCGTCGTATTTCAGATATTAAACGAAAATCACGACGTTTTTTGTGATAATTACATTTATATGGATTTCTACTACTCATTTTATTATCTCTAAATAGATAAACAATAGCTTTTTTAGTATCAAAAAATATTAAATAATTATTTAACCAACAATATGAGTATCAAAAGTTAGCATAATATTTATCAAAGTTCTGAAGTTTGCTGTGGACATCAATCAAATAAATATTGGGTGACAAATGAGAAGTTTTCTAAAGTAATCAGTTATAACTTTGCTTTTTAATGTCTCAAAACATAAAGATATAATAGAATTACGATTTTCGATTAAAAAAACCGGACATACGTACGTAAAAATGTACGTACGGACTGATATTTATTTTTAAACCTAATATGCTTTTAAATATCTTAAAAAATTGACAAAATCTGGCCAGGAAATATATTTATAAGTACATAGAACTGTATATATAACTGTTATAAAATATATTATTATTTAAACGCCAGTTATTTACAGTAAATTGATTATATAAAAATATATATATTATTATTATTTAATAATAGGAATGTTTTTTAAAAGATTCTTCATTTAATTCACTAGCTGAATGTTGGACGATGATCGAAGGTTAAATTTTTTAACTCTCATTTCTACTTGTACTATGTTAAGAGTAATCGTTGCAATCATTATTACTTTTTTTTCTATCCATTTTTTAATGGACTAATGATACCCTAGGATTACGTAACACACTCTGAATCCCAATTAACAGGTAGTACTTCTCTCCAAACACTTAGTAAGTCTAAAAATTTACAAGGCTCTTTGCATCCTGGAATCTCAAGTGGATGAGCTTCGACCATCTCAGTGTTGTTTAAGTATTTAAGCTGGGAGAAAATTCAAATTTAAATGTTGATAAAATTGTTGATGATTTTTGTGAATTTTTTACTTACTTTGACGTCCAATTCGGTATCATTTTCAGTTACGTCCTCAGCCAGGACCAGTTCAAAAATGAGCGCAGCTCCATAGTCTGGTAGGAATAATTCTTCAGTGAAACCAATGGCTCGGAGAACGTTTACTATTGTGATGTCATGAGCAGCGTATAAGTACATTTGCTTCTTGGTCTGTCCATTACGAGCCAACATCATGTTATCAGTGATCTCTTTTAGCAATGGACCTATGATTGATGTTAATATGTAATTAATCAGCTCATCTTGATGAATATTTTTATCTCAAGCTAGTTGCATTGATATATTATTCAATTATTAAATTTTATATTGCTAAGTTTTATGAAAAAAAAAGCTGATTTTTAACATTTTTCGACCGTTAGTACTGTTTTGTAACCTTAGCTAGCATTGGAGCACTCTTGTTGATGATTCAAATTATTTCTAGCAATCTTAAGAACCATTTCTCTGATATTCTAGCCATTTAGGGAATTGACTCTAGACTATGAATAATAATTACCTCCTCTAAGCCGTCGTTGGAGAGTATTACTAGTAAAAATAGCCAAACTCTTCATAGCTATTTCTTTCATTTGTTCGTTATAAAATTTTTTAGTCCATTCTGGAAGCACTAATCCTTTCTTTTCCTGAGGATTAATTATTTATAACAATCAGTTTAATCAATTAATTATCTCCAACACATCCATGTACTTACTTCAATCATCAAAGTGCTATACAAAAACTCAACATCAGTAATTGTTGCTATTTTCTGACCAGTGTGATAAGAAAGCTCAGCATAATAATTCGCCAGCGATTTATCTGACACCCTTGACTCATTAACATAAGCTTCTTTCAAAGCATACTCTAATTTTGTGCAATGATATTTGACAGTGATCAACTGGAACAGAATCAATAACACTTGATTAAAAAAAAAAATTATCATCAAAGTTTTTTGATTGATTACTTTATCCATCTCTCTGGGAATGGAATGAACAGGTACAGGTCGCCATGGTAGGTTATTTAAAAACATTTCTTCAGCTGCTGGTGGAAATAATGCTGCTAGCAAAGATTGAGCAGACATGATACAACGATCAGCATAGCTACTTTGGATAAATATCTTGGAAGACTGATACTTTCTTCCAATCACTTCTCCATACTCTTGTCTGATCCATTCTCCTAGGTGATACAACTGAAGCATGCCCTCCTAATTAAACAATCACAATTTAATCATCACCTAACATTCACCTCCTTCAACTTCATTTTATTATTTAACCTTTCTTTTACCTTCGTCAAAGCATCCCAGCCATCTTCCCAACTGTAATTCTGGTAAGGATCAGTTGCATAAGACTTGCTAGGTGTTTTATCACCATGACGGAATATCTAAAAATGACTGATTATTAATTAACAATTCATTATTAATGATCATTGTTGATAATTGGTAATTACAATGGCAACTTGTCTGATAGTTCGATTGTCTTTTTTAGGTCCAAAAGCAGTATAAGCCAGCAAAGCTGAACCTATCAGCACTCCAAGGACAATAACTATTGAAAAGTCTCTTCGACGTCCTGATCGACAATTTTGTGCCCAAAAACTATTTGTAGAATTCATTATTCTGCAATTTAACATTCAGATAATTAATAAATCAATGTAATAATCGTAACAATGATATGAATGAGGAAAAAAGTGGTACTTACTGGTAGAAGAATGACGAATTGATTCAGCTGATTGATAAAAAAATGAATTTTGTTATTAATTTAATTATTATAGCACAGTAAAAGTAATTACTTTGATGATTTAAATGTTATGTTGACATAAAATAAGACATATAATGTGAAATGAAAAGATAATTGATGAAATATAAAGTATAATTGTAATTACATCATTGATAGAGGTCTATATCAAGCAGATGAATTTCGCTAACTAGTTAATTTTCGCAAAATCATTGATATTTATTTGTTTAACCCAAACATTGGATGCTTGTCAACGTTAATTATAGCACAGTCAGCTGATCAAAATAAACTTGAACGAGACAGCAGACATGGAATTTAGAAAAAGGTGTTGATTTAGCTACTGGCGTTGAGGTTATTTGGGTTCAATAACCTGACTATCAAGATAAGTTTACTAATAATTAGAACCAAGTATCCAGTAGCATTGTGGAATGAAGAACCCTGCTCGAGGGGATTTTTTTAAAATCAACACAAGGAATGTAAATTACATATCTCCATCTTGGGAAGCGTATTGTCTGTCTTATCGACTCTGGTAGTATTTCTAATCTAATGAATGTTTGAGTGAAGAAGAATTAGTGGGAGAAAACAGGTGTCATTGCAAAACCTTCTTTCTCCCACTAATTCTTTTAATTCTATTAAAGACCAAGTATTTGAGACATCAATAAAAGAGTCTGGCTCAGGAAGGGGAGAAAATGGTAAAAGAAAAGACTCAAGTGACGAGTCTTCGTTAATTTATAACTATCAACATCAGACTTCAGATAAAGAGAAAAATGACAAAAGTGATAGGAATGATATAGGCAGAGTTATTTTTAGCAAAGATATTATAATGTTTTATGTTGAAGATTGATATTTTCTATCACTCCATCAACAGTTTCTCTTTTTGAATGTAGACAAAACCTCTAGCGCCGCCTATCGGGCTGTGCTGGAACTTTATCAGCAACAACTATAGCTCAGTGTGTCGACCAATCACATCTCTCCTTCACCGTAACTGAAATATTTTCGAAAAAGCGTCAACTTCAGCTCAGCTGTGCTTGGCGTATGCCTCTTGATCCGTCATGAAAGTATTTTGTGAATAAAATTAATTATCTATAATCATTAAAAGTTTAATAGAACTCCAACTTCATTAGCAACTAATCCTTCTGATCATCAATCAGGTAATTATACTATTCTCTACCATCTTGAATTGTCATAAAATGCTCCAAACCGTCACCATATTAACCTTACTCCGCAACAGCCACTTCTCTCGTCTTCCATCTCGCACTTTTAAGAGCAAATAACGTTATTCAGAGGTCATTATTAATAAATTATATTCCCTAATGCTTTAAATAAATCTAATTATGCTTTTTGATGGTTATATTTGTGCTAAAAAAACATTTTTAGAGACTTTTTCTCCATTCCCGCGTTTTCTACGACTTCTCAACAACCCAATGGCCATGATGTATCGAACATCTCTCGTTTCATTTTTCCTAATATCTCATTTTGTCGACCAGGTGCTCGGTATTTACAACCCACTTAAAGATACTAATACTTAAATTTATTATATTTATCCAAAAGAAAGTTTTCTTTCTTTCATTTTATTTCTTTTTTTCATCCATTTTTTAGAGCATCTTCTTACTCAATAAATTCTACAAGTATTTAATTATTTCATATCAATATTAAAATTAATTATTAATTTTTTTTTTTTATGACAGAAGAATGATAATTAATATTTATTGTCTTTTAATTTTAGGTTAAATTTAAAAAAATAACCTATTTTTTTAAAAAAAAGACTTGATTAGCTGATCTCAAGATGCCTTTACCAAAGGTAACAAGTAGTCAAAATAAGACAATCAGTACTGTGGCATTGAGATCTGGAGTTACAACGAGGAATCAACAAGCGACGGATACCAATAATATCAACAATAATTCAAAGCCAAGTGTATCCAAGGATCTGAGAACAAAACGAAAAGCTGAGGCATCACCGCTTAAAAATAAGACAATCAAGAGATCAGCTTTAGAAAATATTACTAATGTGAGCAAACAAATTATTTATTTAATTAATATAATTTTCTATCCCCAATGTAAGAATTATTCTAACCTATTTATCAAATTATTTCCCTTCCAAAATAATTTTTAATTATTATTAATTATTTTATCAATTTATTCCCAGGCTATTGCTAAAACTCAAGGGATTGCCCAATCGAAGAAGATTGTCAAGAAGGTTCAAATCAAACAAGCTCAACCAGTCAAAGCTAATGACAAGCCGGTAACGACGAAGCAATCGACAAATATTGTATCTAATCTCAAGTCTAAGCTAACGACAAAGTCAGTGGTAAAAAAGAAGCCAGAGATCAAGAAACCTCTTGTTGAAAAGGTCGTTGAGCTGAAGAAAAGTGAGGCAGCAGAAAAATCTGATGACAGTTCTCTATATGTCAGTGCTTTGGAAGATGTTTCAGGAGGAAGTGCTAAGAAATCCTCAGCCACAGTTGAGAAGGTAAGTAATTTAACCTAGCTATCGAGTAATTAATTATAAGAAACGATCTGATGATAACTTTTATCTTTAGGCTGCTGAAAAAGATGAAGTCGTACCGAAAAAAAATGCCGACCAAAAACCCAAGGAAGTGATTCCTAAAAGTTTACATTTAGATGATCCACCATATCGAGAGTTGCCAGAAGGAATGGAGTCAGATTTTGATATTGAAAACTGGCGGGATCCATATCAAGTGTCGCAGTATGCTTCTGAGATATTTGAGTACCTGAAAAGTCGTGAATCTCAATTCGTTATTGATGATTACATGGAGAACCAGACACATATTTCAGCGTGGATGCGATCGCTGCTGGTGGATTGGATGGTCGAAGTTCAAGAGTCATTTGAATTAAACCATGAAACCTTGTATTTAGCTGTTAAACTAGTTGACTTATATTTATCTAAAATAAATGTGATGAAAGAGATATTGCAACTTCTAGGAGCTGCTAGTTTATTTATTGCTAGTAAATTTGATGTAAGTTTCAAATTTTATTTTAACCATTTTTCTTTTAATGTTAATTTTTAATATTATTTACATTTATTCTAGGAACGAATTCCACCTTTAGTTGAAGACTTCTTGTATATCTGTGATGGAGCTTATTCTCAACGAGAATTAATGAGAATGGAGATGAGTATATTGAAGACGATCGACTTTGACTTAGGAATTCCTCTTTCGTATCGCTTTCTTCGACGATACGCTAGAGTAAGTACTCATTTATTAAACTATTGATTAAAAATATATTAATAATTAATCCAAACAAGACTCATTAATTTTTTCTACCGTTTTTAAATAAGCAAACAGCACGAACGACCTATCATTACAAAATAACAATAAAAATAACAATAAATAAAAAATTAAAAGGCTTTTTTTTTTTGGTTTCAGTGTATCAAAGTATCAATGCCTACTTTAACTCTAGCTCGATACATCTTAGAGTATTCGTTAATGGACTACGAAACTGTTCAATTTAGTGATAGTAAAATAGCAGTAGCGGCATTAGTCCTTGCTTTAATGATGAAAGATCTTGGTGGATGGTCGACAGAATTGGAATATTATACAGGATATCAAATAGATGACATTAGAGATATTGTATTCGTACTTAATAATGGTCTTCATAGAAAACCTAAAGATGAGTTAGCAACTGTCCGACATAAATACAGTCACAAGTAAGTTATTTTTATTTTATTACATTAATTATAATTTTTATTTCATTAATTACAATATTTTAATCATGAATTTACTTTTTTTCTTTCAGAATATTTTTTGAAGTAGCTAAAATACCGCTCAAGAGAAGACTTGATATATAGTCATACAACTTCTAGACCAAGTGAATAAGAAAAAAAAAACGACTTACGGTATTTAATTTAATATTTCAAAGCATTAGAAAAAAAAGTGATCGACAATTTGCATTGAAACAATTTTTATAAACTGCTATTTTTTTTCTGATATATTTATACAAACATTTTTTACAAAAAAACAAAAAAAGCTTATTATGAGAATAGAGAGAATATTGACTTAATGATTCATAGACAATCGTTTCGATAAAGGCATTTTTTAAAATTAACAAGTGGACCGGAAATGTCTACTTTAAGAAAATTAATTTTAGATAGTAAAATTGAATGATCCACTACAGTATTTTGTAAGATATTTTTATACTTATTATTATTATAATTAATCAATCTGTGGTGTCAATATTTACTGACTCATATTTATATATCTTATGAATATTTAGTAAATTGTAATTAATTAGTTTGACTTACCTGTACTTTTTACCTCATTAAAAATAGAAAAATTATCAACAACAACAACAAAAAAATAATGGCATTCATTAGGAAGTACAACTTGCTTTTTTTTTGGAAAGGAATAGTGTTGATGTCAGTATGAGGCTTGTGGACTCTTTAAATTTACCAGGTAGCTGTTGAAGATGGTAAATGAACCGAAATTATAAACACGATTTCTCGATATGGAAATCTATTTTATATTGAAAAATTATTTATCGATTAAAATTACGGTAAATTTACCGTCTTTAATATTTTTTTAAAAAAAATAAGCAAATGAGTGTAAATAAACTTGCTATTACTTGGGAATATTTTTTTTCAAAAAAATCAATATCTCTGTAAATATTAGAAAATTTATAATATTAACAATAGCACTGCGGTCTTTTTGTTAAATTTATAAATAAAATATAGAAATGCTGACTTTCAAAAAAAAAAAATTTTGTTGATTCTTTGAATAATTATTATTAATTTTTTTCTTTTATAGGAAAATTAATTAATTAATTAATTGAATGTTTTTTTTTTAAGTAGGTGTAATAATATATTTGTGTCATAATTTGTTTCATTTTATTATGTAGCATAACACTTTGTTGTTGTCTATAATAATAATTTATTAATACGGGAGTAATAATAGTAATAATAATCTATAGCACCATTTATCAATTTTTAAAAAATTTTTTTTCTGTTCTTAATGCCAATCAAAAAATGATTTCTAAGATGTAGATTAATTATTTTTTATTTATTTTTAATCAACGGTGTTTATTTTTGATTATTAAAAATTTCAAGACAGAAAATTATCACATTAAATAAATGTAATGTAATAATTTATTATTTGTAATAAATTTAATAAACAAAAAAAGAAAAAAATTAAATAAAAACAAAAAGATATGATAATATTTTCTATCTTTAAATTTTTATTTACATCAAAGACACCATTATGTAAGGTTTTAATTATTTAATTTATTTTATTGTTAAATAATCGAGGAGCACAAAAAGAAAAAATAAATAAATATTAATATTGAAAAATTTATGAATCAGAATGAAATGCCTCTCTAAAAGTCACTTTGGTACATTTTTAATTCAATTACATTTCACATATATCCTATTATCAGTTTTCTATCTTAGACCTAATGTTGTGTAATAATGTAAATACCATTTTTTTATTCGATAGTTGTTTGTTTGTTTTTCATGAAAGCTCGTTCCTAAGAGTTAATCTCCTCATATCATCAATTGTTATTATTTTTTTTTTTTTTATTATTATTAGTGTTATTATTAGTATTAATATTATTCCCAATGTTTAATTGTTAATATTTAATTGTAACATCCTACCTACAATAGCTGGTCATTATTTATTTCATTCTCTTTTTTGTTTAAACAAGCATTAATTAATTAGCGTCACAGTACATTAATCTTTTTGTCTTTGTGCATTCCAATAAGCATTCGTCATTACTTTCGTTAAACAATAACAATTTATTAACTATAATGATAATTTTATTGCAGTTAATAATTAATTATTTATTATAATTATTAAATAAGCAAATATTGGATTAGTTTTAAGTATTATTTTTAATTTTTAAAAATCATTAAATAATTATTTATTGATAGATAAATAATGCCTTTTTAATTTTAAAAATAAAATCTACAATAAATTATCATCATTATTAAAATCGTTAGCATTTTTATTTGATTGCTGATGTTAAATATAATTGTATTATTATCATATTATTGTTGCCATTATCACCATTTCATTACAGTTTTTTTTTTTTTTTATATTTTCGATATCACGTCGGCATTCTCCTGAGCCTCTTCATTTTATTTAATTAATGTTTATAACTATTTGACCATTGTTTTAATTATTTTATAACTAGTACTGATGAAAGTAAAGTATAAAAAATTGAATTGCTTCCAGTTGTAGTAACGCTGTATTTTTTTTTTATTTTTATTTAATAAATTCATTATAGATATATTTATTAACTTGAAATGTGAATTACTTTTTTTTTGCCATTGAATCATTTGTTTATTTATGTTGATAAAAGCGAAGTAAAACGGACGGGTTGTCTGTTAATTTTATTTATTTTTTTTAATTTTCCTTTATGAAAAAAGAAAACAGTGGACTCAACAGTGAGATGCTAATATTTTTTTTTATAAAGATTGTGTATGGTTTTTTTTTTTTTTTAATATATAAATTTAAACATTTTATCGTTTATTTTTTAGCTGAATGGCATTTTTTGAAGCACACTTAATTTTAATCAATGTTTAAATTTTTATCAGCATATCAATATATTTTTTATTAGCTTCCTCAATTCTAATATATTTAAAAAAAAAAAAAAAAAGCGTCAATCAAAAAATAACGGTATTTAAAGTGAAACTTTTTATAGAATGCAAATTAATTGTTAATAATATTTAGTAATAATTATCATTAATAATTAATAATAAATTGTTTTCTGTGTCTGACGGTTATTTTACCCTAGTAGGTCAATCAATCCAGTAGCTAAAATCTTAAGCCCATAAAAAATTTCACTTTAAAAACATTTAAATAATAAATCACAAATTATTTTTCTTTAATTAATAATTAATTAAATAAATGTTTAAAGAAGCAGCAAGTGACCGATAAGAATGATGTGTTAATTTAATATTTAAATATTCTTGATCGTTGGATCAAATAGCAAAAGATGCAACAAAATAATAGTAATTATTAAAAAATAATATTTAAACAATACATAAAATTTCTATTATAAATATTAAAAAATTTTAAAACTACAATATTTATCAATTACATAAAATAAAGCGTATTAGGATGACTTAATAATTATAATAATAATAATTTGTCTTCCATAATAATGATCCTTCTTAGAAAGGATATCATCACATCCGAATCACAAATTTACTCACATAGCCCAATAATAAATAAAATAATTACTACAGCAGCATTATGTAAAAAAATTTTTAATATTCAATCCGTTTCACGTAGTGAATTGATAATTGATTAATTAATTAATTAGTTATTCTATTTAAAAATCAGGACGTTTCCTTGTGTTACTTGAGTTATTTTTGTTTAATAATATTGCAGATGATGGAATAAATAAAGAGATGAAATGAATATTAATAATGGATTGATTTTTTTTTTGATAAAAGTTGACTCAGAATTCGACTAGAATGGCTGAACATGCTGAAGTGTTGGCCTAAAATTCAAGCCGGTAAGCGCTACAGCTTGTTTCGTGATCTTGGAGATTAATTGTACAACGAGAGGCTGATGGAGAGAGATCAATACGGTTGATTGCCAGGGCTTCTTCGTTATCTGCTACCCAGTAGCCCAAGGTATCCGTGTCATAGGTTGGGATCATTGTCACTTCTGAAATGATTAATTATTATTTAAATAATGCTGTGAAAAAAGGTATTAATTATTCTGATGATGAAAATGGAATAAATAGAATATAATGTGCTGATACAGCACCCCAAAAAATACTAACCTAAATCTTTATTTTCCCAAGTCTTCTTAGCATTGAGTAACGCATCATAGACATCACGACTTGGTTCTGTACCACTGAAGACATAGTATCTAGCACGAACACGTTTGAAAAATTCCAGGGATGCGTAATACGAATTTCCATGATGAGGTACATAGGTTAGGTCAACATAAACTGGTTGAATTTTCTTTTTAGAGTCTTTAGATTTTTTATCAGTTTTTCCAGGACTTTCAGAGCGTTTTTTATTTTTAACATTCTCAGATATTACTTTTTTAGGTTGTCTAACTTCTTTCTTTGGAGTTGATGGTACGACTTTGTTAGATTCATCGATAACAGGTGCTGGAGAGGGTAATCTCATTGGCTCACCCCAATCATGAATAATATCAAAGTCAAGAGAGTCTGGAGATATATCAACAGTGTGAATTAATGCCCCGGTTCGTAGATTAAATCTATCAGGCCGTTCAGGTGGAGGTAATTTCATTGGTGTACCCCAATCTTTGATTGGATCTTTAGAAGAAGTGCTACCAGCATCACTATGTGAATCATCATCCTTCTTGGGTGGTTGATAATCTCTTAGCACACGATCAACATCATAGTCACCCATGTCGGCAAACTTCTCCGATGATGCTTTCTTGAATGTAAAATCATCAGAAGCACCACTGAGTGATGGTACATCACTTCGTGTTGGTGGAACTGATGGTAATTGGCCATAGAAACTACTGCTCATGTCTTCAGCGGAGAAACCAACAGCTTCATCATCAATATTCAAAGGTTCATCATCACTTGGACCATGAGTTTTAAGAGATTCTGATGATTTAGTTGGTTCTAATGTTGATTCACTCGTCAATGGACCACGATCAGCCACTTTAACATCCATCTTCTCTTCCAACACCACCGTTTCACCTCGTTCATTCGTTGTCTCAGTGACTTCTTTCGTTGTAGTAATAATCTCTCCATCATGTGACATCGTACGTGTTGTGGTGATAGTTGTCTTAATGACTTCACCAGAACGGAATCCTTCAGGAGTTGCTGTACTTGAACGACCTTCTGATCCTTCCTTCTTATCTGGAGTTGATCTTCCAGATTTCTCACCTGACATCAACATCTCTAAATGTTCCTTATGCGTTGGAATTTTATCTTTTATCTCTTTGGTATCATGTTTCACGTCTTCTTTTGGCTGATCATCTTCCTCAATGATCTCTCGTTTCACTACAGTTGTCTTAATCACAGTTTCGTATTCTGGGGAACCTTCCTTGACAATCACTTGTTTCACAGAAGTTGTTGATGGCCCTGATGACTCTTCTTCCTCCTCTTCTACTTCACGAACAATAGTATGCTTGATGATTATAGGCTCAGACTGTTCTTGGATTATTGTAGACTTGACTTCTGCTTTTAGATCTTGAGAAGAATCAGACCCAGCACCGATGTCTGGAGTTGATTTACCAGAAAGTGTGGTAATATGAGTCGTCCGAATTTCAGTTATTCCATCAAGGAATGCTTTGTGAAACTGGCTTTCATGTTTAGCATCATATGACCGAACTTCTGGAGTTGAATATCCTGATGATTTACCATCAGGAGTTGATTTACCAGACATGTGACCTAAAGTGCGCTCCTTATACTCGATTTCAGAATAAATCTCCTCATCGTAGATTGATGATCTTGGTAGCTTCATCCTCTTAATTATTTCTTCAATGATCTCCAGCAGAATGTATCGCGGTACTGACGTTACCTTCATCATTTCATTGAGATCATGAGATGTAATCATCACTCGTCGGTTCAAGTATTTGTCTACAACATAAGATTCAACCTCCATTCTCTTCTTTTCAGAAATTAGAACTGGTTCATCAACTTCATGCTGACCATCATCTTCCTCTTTGTCTTCTTCTATCAACGCCTCTCTGGCTAATTTACGTTCTGTAATCAGACATTCGATTATCGCATAAATAATATCACTCTGGACACCTTCGGACTTAGCCAACATCTCAATCATCTCCGAAGTCATTTTAGCTTTTGGTTTGATGTAGTGTTCAGTGATGTGGTTCTCGATGTTCACTCTTTTTACCGATGATAAATTGGCCAATAAATTATCTTTTGATTCAGCATGACTAGACTTTAGTTCCTCCTCTTCACTCTGATATAAAACCTGATTTATATCAATATGTCTCTCCTTGCAGATCTCTTCAATTATTTCCAAAGCAATGTGCTTTGGAATCTGGAAGAAAATTACGATGTCTTCAAATAGATTGACATTAGTTATTTTGATTCTCTCCAATCGGTCGATGATGTATTCTTCAATGTCTGCTTTTAATTTAGTCAATTGAACTCCCTTTAGTTCATGATCTACCTCATATTTAGCAAGGTGTTCTTGAATGTCATGGATGTCTTGCTTCATTGTAGCCAGCTCATCTTTTTCTTCGTATAGACTAGCTGATCTGGATCTACCTAGTGGTGTCTTCTCACCAGTTTCATAGAGACTTTGGGAACGAGATCGGTCCTTTGGTGGGATTTCCTTGATTGGACCCAGGTCTTCATCTTCATCCAAACTGTCTTCTCTCTTTGAACCTACAAGTGATTCAGTAGAAGCCATGTCTTTGGATTTTTCAAGTGATTTTGAGAATGATTCTTTTCTAACATCAGTTTCTGATGTTGATGATGGTGAAGTGGTTGGAAGAGCTGGCGATTTAACATCATGATGATCGGTTACCTCAGCTCCTTTTGAGTCAATTGATTTTTCAGCTGGAGATTTATCTTTGTCTTCAATTGGTGAATCTTCTTTTTTCTGAACTGGAGACTTTGGACCTGGACTAGTATCTTTTGGGGCTTCAGGCTTGATTTCTTTGTCTGTCGGAGCAGAGGTGTCTTTTGGTGAAGATGGTTTAGGTGAAGGTGTAGATTCTGGAGACTTCAATTGAACGTCTTTGGTGGTTGAAGAGGGAAGTTCGATTTGCGAGACAGAACTTTCTTTTCGTGTTGGAGACATTGGCGTTGGAGAAGTTGATGACTTGATACTTTCAGCCTTTTCATCAGCTTTGTCAGCAGCTAAATTCGCCTTACGGACTGGTGATAGAGCAGCAGGTGATGATGATTTTATGCTGTCAGCTTTTTCATCTAATTTTTCAATAGTTAGACTATCTTTTCGTACAGGAGATGTAGGTGCTGGTGAGGTTGATGATTTAACGCTTTCAGCTTTATCAGTAATAATACTTTCTTTTCTTGTTGGTGATAATGGAGCAGGTGAAGTTGATGATTTAACACTGTCGGCTTTCTCCTCCAATTTTTCGATGGTCAAACTTTCTTTTCTTATTGTTGATGAAGGTGCTGGAGATACAGACGATTTGACACTCTCAGCCTTTTCATCTTTATCTGTACTTAAACTTTCTATTCTCGTTGGCGAAGTAGTAATTGGAGATGCTGATGGTTTCATGCTTTCAGCTTTTTCACCAGCTTTCTCAATGATCAGACTTTGCTTCCTAATTGGAGATAATGGAGCAGGTGATGTTGTGGATTTTATGCTCTCAGCTTTTTCTTCTTTGTCAGCAATTAAACTGTCTTTTCTAATAGGAGATGTTGGTGCTGGAGACGTAGATGATTTTACGCTATCAGCTTTTTCACTAGCCTTATCGAGAGTTAGACTCTCTTTCCTCGTCGGTGATGATAGAGCAGGTGACGTCGTGGATTTTATGCTCTCAGCTTTTTCATCTTTATCAAGAACTGGACTTTCTTTTTTTACCGGTGATAAGGGAGCAGGAGATGTTGCTGATTTAACGCTATCAGCTTTATCAGCTACCAAACTCTCTTTCCTTGTTGGAGATGATGGAGCAGGAGACGTTGATGATTTAATACTTTCAGCCTTTTCATCAGCTTTGTCTGTGACCAAACTTTCTTTCCTTATTGGCGATAATGCTGCAGGTGACGACGATTTAACACTGTCAGCTTTGTCTTCAACTTTTTCAATAACCAAACTATCTTTTCTCATAGGTGATGACGGAGCAGGTGAGGTCGATGACTTGATGCTATCCGCTTTATCAGTCACCAAACTTTCTTTCCTAGTAGGCGACAAAGCTACTGGAGATGTTGATGATTTAATGCTTTCAGCTTTTTCATCACCTTTATCAATCGCCAAGCTTTCTTTCCTCGTAGGTGACGATGGAGCAGGTGACGTTGTGGATTTTATGCTCTCAGCTTTTTCTTCTTTGTCAGCAACCAGACTTTCTTTTCTAATTGGCGATAAAGGAGCTGGAGACGTAGATGATTTAACACTTTCAGCTTTCTCATCAGCTTTTTCAGGAATCAAGCTTTCTTTTCGAATAGGAGATGTAGGTGCAGGAGACGTAGATGATTTAATGCTATCAGCCTTTTCTTCAACAGCTAAGCTTTCTTTCCTCGTAGGTGACGATGGAGTGGGTGATGTTGTGGATTTTATACTCTCAGCCTTCTCATCCTTATCAACAATTAAACTCTCTTTTCTTACAGGTGATGTTGGTGCTGGAGAAGTCGATGATTTTATACTGTCAGCCTTTTCATCAACAATTAAACTCTCTTTTCTGATTGGTGATGTGGGTGCTGGAGAAGTCGATGATTTTACACTATCAGCCTTTTCATCAACAGCTAAGCTCTCTTTTCTGATTGGTGATGATGGAGCAGGTGATGTTGATTTAATGCCTTCAGCCTTCTCATCCTTATCAATAACTGAACTTTCTTTTCCTACAGGTGATGTTGGTGCTGGAGATGTTGATGATTTAATACTGTCAGCTTTTTCATCAGCTTTATCAATAGCTAGACTCTCTTTTCTCGTAGGTGACATCGGTGCTGGTGATGTCGTAGACTTTACACTTTCAGCTTTTTCAATAGTAAGACTTTCTTTCCTTTCTGGTGACGATGGAGCTGGTGATATCGATGATTTAACACTCTCAGCTTTGTCTTTTTTCTCAATAACTAGACTATCCTTCCTGGATGTTGATACTGGTGATATTGAAGATTTAGCATCTTCAAATTTATCATCTTTCTCATCAACAACTTCTTTTGGACTTAATGACGTATCTGGTGACGTTGATGATTTGACGTTGTCATCCTTTTCAATCACCAAACTCTCCTTGCGACTAGATAATGCTGGTAATGAGGATATGGTAGTACTTTCAGTTGCTTCTTTATGATCAACATGACCTTCTTTTGGACCTGGAATAACGGCAGTTGGTGAAGTCGAGGTTTTTAAGCTTTCTGTCGTAACTTCTTGTGAAGTAACCAAACTTTCTTTTCTACTTGGTGTCGTAGCTGATGGAGATACAGAAGATTTAACGCTTTCAGCTTTGGCATCTTCTTCTGGACGCTTTTTATGATCAGGTGATACATCAATTGGAGAAATAAATTTAATGCTGTCGGCCTTATCTTCCTTGTCAACAATCAAGCTTTCTTTTCGACTTGGTGATGGTATTGATGAAGGTGATTTTGTACTTTTTATTTCATCTAATTGTCCCACAGTGTCGGGATCACTCGGAGTAATGGCAGTAGGTAGAATTGAAGATTGTATACTTTCAGCTTTGTCTTCTTTATCAGTTACCAGGCTCTCTTTCCTAGCAGATAATGGAGCGTCTGCTGTCACAGACTTCACTTCAGCGGTAACTTCTTTGAGATCTGGAGTACTTTCTTTGCGGATTGGTAATGTCATTTCTGGAGAAGTGGCAGTAGCTGGAGGCTTGGTAGGCACGACTTTTTCTACTTCACCAGGAGATTTTACAGGTTCTTCCAATTTTGAAGCAGCAAGGCTGTCTTCTCTTGTTGGTGACAACAATGTTGGAGATGTTGTAGATTTTATGCTCTCAGCTTTTTCTTCTTTGTCAGCAACCAGACTTTCTTTTCTGATTGGTGATGTTGGTGCTGGAGATGTTGATGATTTAATACTGTCAGCTTTTTCATCAGCTTTATCAATAGCTAGACTCTCTTTTCTCGTCGGTGACGATGGAGCAGGTGATGTTGCTGATTTTATACTGTCAGCCTTTTCATCAACAATTAAACTCTCTTTTCTTACAGGTGATGTTGGTGCTGGAGAAATCGATGATTTTATACTGTCAGCCTTTTCATCAACAATTAAACTCTCTTTTCTGATTGGTGATGTGGGTGCTGGAGAAGTCGATGATTTTACACTGTCAGCCTTTTCATCAACAGCTAAGCTCTCTTTTCTGATTGGTGATGTTGGTGCTGGAGATGTTGATTTTATGCTTTCTGCTTTTTCATCTTTATCTACAACTGAGCTTTCTTTCCTAACTGGAGATAGTACAGCTGGTGACGTTGATGATTTTACACTGTCAGCTTTTTCATCAACAATTGAGCTTTCTTTTCCAACAGGTGATATAGACGCAGGAGATGTTGATAATTGTACAGAATCGGCTTTGTCAGTGACCAAACTCTCTTTCCTCGTTGGTGAAACTGAAGCAGGTGATGCTGATGTTTTTATACTCTCGATCTTTTCATCAGCTTTATCAGTAATCAAGCTTTCTTTCTTCACTGGAGATAGTGCAGCTGGTGAGCCTGATTTTATGCTCTCAGCTTTTTCGTCCTTATCAACAGCAGAACTCTCTTCTCTTACAGGCGATGTAGGTGCTGGTGACGTTGATGATTTAACGCTTTCAGCTTTCTCATCAGCTTTTTCAGGGATCAAGCTTTCTTTTCTAATAGGAGATGTTGGTGCAGGAGACGTAGATGATTTAATACTATCAGCCTTCTCATCAATTTTATCGATGGCTAAGCTTTCTTTTCGTGTCGGTGATGATGGAGCTGGTGAAGTTGATTTTATGCTCTCAGCTTTTTCTTTTTTGTCAGCAACCAGACTTTCTTTTCTAATTGGCGATAAAGGAGCTGGAGACGTAGATGATTTAACACTTTCAGCCTTCTCATCAGCTTTTTCGGGAATCAAGCTTTCTTTTCTAATAGGAGATGTTGGTGCAGGAGACGTAGATGATTTAATACTATCAGCCTTCTCATCAATTTTATCGATGGCTAAGCTTTCTTTTCGTGTCGGTGATGATGGAGCTGGTGAAGTTGATTTTATGCTCTCAGCTTTTTCTTTTTTGTCAGCAACCAGACTTTCTTTTCTAATTGGCGATAAAGGAGCTGGAGACGTAGATGATTTAACACTTTCAGCCTTCTCATCAGCTTTTTCGGGAATCAAGCTTTCTTTTCTAATAGGAGATGTTGGTGCTGGAGATGTAGATGATTTTATACTATCAGCCTTCTCACTTGCCTGATCAAGAGTTAGACTTTCTTTCCTTGTAGGCGACAAAGCTACTGGAGATGTTGATGATTTAATGCTTTCAGCTTTTTCATCACCTTTATCAATCGCCAAGCTTTCTTTCCTCGTAGGTGACGATGGAGCAGGTGACGTCGTGGATTTTATGCTCTCAGCTTTTTCATCTTTATCAAGAACTGGACTTTCTTTTTTTACCGGTGATGTTGGTGCTGGTGACGTTGATGATTTTACACTATCAGCCTTTTCATCAACCTTCTCAATAATCAAGCTCTCTTCCCTCGTTGGAGATGATGGAGCAGGAGATGTTGCTGATTTAACGCTATCAGCTTTTTCAGTCACCAAACTCTCTCTTCTTGTAGGAGACAACGAAATAGGTGAGATTGACGATTTGACACTCTCATCTTTATCAACAACTGAACCCTCTTTCTTTGTTGGTGAAGTTGAAACTGGAGATGCTGATGATTTAACGCTTTCAGCCTTATCATCAGCTTTCTCTGTAATTAAACTTTCTTTTCTCACTGGCGAAAGTGCAGCAGGTGATGATGATTTCACACTGTCAACCTTCTCATCTTTATCAATGACTGAACTTTCTTTTCTTACTGGTGATGTTGGTGCTGGTGACGTTGATGATTTTACACCATCAGCCTTTTCATCAACCTTCTCAATAATCAAGCTCTCTTTCCTCGTTGGAGATGATGGAGCAGGAGACGTTGATGATTTAATACTATCAGCTTTTTCATCAACTTTATCTATAGCTAGACTTTCTTTCCTTGATGGTGACATTGCCGCTGGAGATGATGATTTAATACTTTCAGCTTTTTCATCTTCATGTGCAGTTGACCCTTTCTTATCATCTGGAGTTGTATCTTTCGGTGATGTTGACAATTTATCACCTTTACCAGGGCTTCCTTTTTCATCAGCTTTGTCAGTAATTACACTGTCTTTTCTAATCGGTGACAATGGAGCAGGAGAAATTGACGATTTATCACTATCAGCTTTCTCATCTTTATCAACAACTGAACCATCTTTTTTGTCATCCGTTTCTTTAATCAAACTTTCTTTTCGAATTGGTAGAGTAGTAGGATGTTTTTCATCTCCTTTTTCAGTATCAATACTTTCTCCAGCCTTCTCATCTTTATCCTCTTTTTCAATTACTGAACTTTCTTTTCGAGTCAATGACGTCTCTACAGGTGACATGGCGGTCTTAATATCCTCAATTTTCTCTTCCTTCTCATCTTTTTTCATTTCTTTCACATCAGTTGCTACTTTTTCAAGTGATTTCTCTTCCATAGAAACTGGTAATGAAACAGCTGGTGCTTTAGCATCAGATTCCTTTACACTCTCTGTGGTAAGTTGATCAATTTTTTCAATAGCTTCATCAATTTTAGCTGATACTAGACTTTCCTTCCTGCTAGGAGATGATGGCATAGGTGAAATCGATGTCTTATCATCAGGACTTTCCTCAGCTTTTTCATCAGCCTTATCCTTAACATCTTCTTTCTCAATTGGAGAAATTTTTTCTTGCTTTTCTGCTTGAGGACTTGGTACTTTAACATCTTCTTTATGAGCTTCATCAACTTTAGTTTCAACTTTAACTGGTAATTCTTCCTTTTTGTCTTGAACTTCTGCAGTTTTTTCTTCTTTCAACTCTTTAGCTTCATCAAGTTCTTTTTTATCTTCCACTGTTGGCAATACACTGACAGATTTAGCCTCCTCCACAATCACTTTTCCATCTAAAGACTTCTCCAGACTATCTGGCGTAACTTTACCATCTTTAGCCTTTGTCTTATCAGAAATACTGTCTTTTTCAGGACTGCTAATTGGTGAGATGAGAGAATCCTTATCAGGAGTTGTCTTCACCGGTGAACCTTTCAATGAATCATCAGGAGTAATTGTCTTGCTGAATGTTATAGAACCTGTTGGACAAATTTCCGTTTCTTCACCTCCATCTTCACTCGTCGCTGTCACCACCATACGCTTAACAGTTGAGACTTCATCTTTTTCATCTGGTTTCAATTTTTTATCTTCAGAAACAACCTTCGAAATTGTCTCAGACTTTTGGACTTTAATTACATCAGTCATCTTCTCATCAGCCTCAACGACATCATGCATATCATCTTCAATCGCTTCCTCAACTTGACTGGAATCAAGCTTATATTCCTGCTCAACTGCTTCAAAATCATCAATTTCACCTTTGCCTGCATCTTTCTCTTGCTCTTCTAACTGCATTTTCATCAGCGAATCCTTTGAAGGTACATCAATAAAACCTTCAACTAATTTATCTTCTTCAACACTTTTTCCTTCTTCTTCCTCCTCATCTGGCTCATCTTCTGCTTTCAAAGCATTCCAGACATCCAGTGGAACATCTACGACTGATGATTTTTGTAATTTCTTTTTTATTATTATTTCTTCAATTATTTCTATAATTATTCGTCTAGAGACTCGTTGATTTTTCGACAGATTCTCAATAACATCAGCATTTATTTTCTTTCCCTTCACTATGAATTCATCATTAAGCTCATTTTCAAGCTGTAATTTTACTTTCTCATCTTCCTTGTCAATAATTGATTTATCCATCTTCTCTTTCTCTTCGTGGATTATTTTATTCAAATTCTCCTCACTGATGTCGAGCAATTTAGATCTTGGTATCTTCTTGATTATTATTATCTCTTCAATGATTTCTATCATCATACGAACTGGAAGTGTTTTCTTGGCTGCTAATTCTTCTAGAATTGGCCACGTTATTTTAATATTCTTTTCAATATAATTTTTGTGAATATAATCTTCAACATCAATCTTCTTACTTTCATCAATTTCTTCTTCATCAACTTCTTCTTCTTCTTCTTCTTTTTCATCTTGATCAGTTGATAATAAATCAACGTCATCAACAACAGTTTCAGGTGCTAGTTTTTTTTCAACAATTATTTGATCAATAATGTGAACAAGTTCTCGTCTAGGAATTCTCTTTGTTATAATAATAAATTCCAAAATTTCAACAGTAATTTTTATCTTTTTAATCAATATTATTTCTTCGATTATTTTATAAATATTCTCATTTTTATTAACGATATCTTCAATATTTTTAGGCACATCAACTTTGATTTTACTTAAATCATCACTTTCTTCTTTATCGGCAGTCTCTTTCTCCTGAGGTATGTGAACAGGGAATTTTGGTGATGGTGGCATTGAATCAGGTGTTACCATAACAACTTCAGCAACAGCAGGTGATGTTTTATGATCAAATGTTATTTCTGATGTCACAATATCTTCATCAATTGTTTTATCATCTTTATGTACATCAATTTTCGTACAGACTTCTTCTATTCCAGCTTCCAAAACATCCTTTTTACCATCATCAATGTCACCCAAGCTTCGTTTCTTTCTGCTAATTGGTGATAAATCATCTTTCATCAATTCAGCACAAATGGCTTTAGCATCAGCTTCGTCAGCATCTTTTTTGGGAGTAGTCACAGGTCCTTTATCAATTACTGTCTTGACACATGGCTCTTCATGACATATGACTGGAGATTCTTTCTTGTCAGCAATCACCTCTGCAGCTAAATCTTTCAGATCTAGAACTCCAACTGATGGCTTTTTATCTGATGTGACTTCAACCAAAGACTCTTTTCTACTTGAAATCGATTCTTTTATATCTTCTTCAACTGATTTTTTATCCTCTGGTGTTTCTTTCAATTCAACTTTCGGTGATTCTTTCTTCAAAATTGCTTCAACGATTGGCTCTTTTTGCTCTGGTGATTTTTGCTTATCCAGAGATAATTCTGTGATTGATTCTGTTTTCTCAGGAATCGATGGTTTAGCATCTTTGTCATCAGGAACAGCAGCTGTCAATGTCTCTTTGATAGCAGAAGGTATTTTTTCCACTGCTTCTTTCACTTCTGCATCTATTTTTTCAGCGATCGATGATACTACTGGTTCTATCTGATCAACTACTGCTTCAAGTAATGATTCTTTTCTTGACGGAATCATTTCTGGCACAGTTTCTTTCTTTTCTGCAGCTTTTTCTTCTGGACTTGCTTCTGTTGCAGATAATTTCTCTTCCACAACAGTCTCTTTCGGTGAATCTTTCTTCTCTGGAGCAGATGCTTTTTGTTCTTCTTTAGTTTCAGGAACTTTAGCATCTACTTCTTCCTTGAACAAAACTTTCTCTGATAAAAAATCATCTTCTTTAAGAACCTCAGCAACCTTTTTTACAATTTCAATTACATCTTTTGGTTTTTCATCAATTCTAATACCAGCTGTTCCTGCGAGGACTTCACCAACATCTTTGACAGCTTCTTTAACATTTTTAGTGATCTCCATATGATCAAAGACATTCTTGTCATCTTCATCTTCTTCTTCACCTTCTTCATCTTTAGGAATTATGAATTTGACTTTTTCTGGTTCTTTATCAATTGGTTCTTCTTCAAGTTGTGGTTTCATTTCTTCTAATTTCTCAACAACTTCATGTAACTTCTCTTTTATCTCATCTTCAGCAACAATTTTTGCTAGTTTTAATTCTTCTTCAGCCATTTGATCCTCAAGTGATTCCAATGAATCTCTTAAACTGTCTTTGACAGTTTTAAATTTCTTTGAAGCTTCTTCCAACAAGGCTTCAACTTCTCCAACATCATCTTCACTGATTTCACCTGCTTTTGGCATTTGAGGTTTCTCATCAATTTTCTTCACTTCTTCCTCTTTAATATCTGTTTCTACTTTTATTTTATTATCAATTGGAAGCTCTGTAGGTTTATCTAAAGGTTTCTTCATCTCAACATCTTTCTCGGGTATCTTCTCTTTTAATTCAGCTGCAAGCTGTTCAACACTCTCTTTTGGTGATCCAGACTTGGATTTCGGTGATATAGATTTCGATGATTTCTCATCAATATCTTTTTCAGAATCTCTTCGAGCCTTGCGAGCTAATTTATCAATTCCTTTTTCTAATTTATCAGCAACTTTGCCGAAAAAGCCAAACACACCTTTCTGCTCTTTAGCAGCTGGAGGTGGTGGTGGTGGTTCTTTAGGTTCAGCAACTTTCCCTTCTTTGTCTTTCTCGAAATCATCAACTTTATAAAGATTTGGATCAACTTCCTCATGAACAGGCAGATCAGCAACCTCATCAGGAGTCTTGACAATATCTCTTGGAAGAATTGTTTGTCGAACTGTGAATGGTTTAGCAGTTGGCTTCGTTTCGCTAATTTCAGCTGGAGGTAATGGCATAACTTTTGGTTCAACAACCTTTTCAATCTTCTTAACCTCTTCACTAATAAGTGGCTTTATTCCTTCAATAGGAATTGGTTTGATCGCCTCAACTGGAATTCGTTCATCTTCAGGCAGTGTTGGTGCTGTGGTTGTAGCACCAGATTCAATAGTAGAAATTCGCTCTTGAGATTCTTCTAATTTTTCTTGAACATGTTCCTTTTCAACTTCAGGTTTAATATCAGTATCAGTAGTCTTCTTTTCAGAAGAATCTAATTTTTCTGGACTTAAACTTAAGCCTTCTTTCGTGACATCTTCACTATCCTTTTTACCAGAGTCATCTTTATCATCAACTTTCTGTACAATCTCTGTCGCTGAAGTAATAATTTCCTTCACCTCTTCATCAAGTTGTTCTTTATATTCAGCAATAGCTACTTGATCTTTAGCTTCTACTTTTTTATCATCTTCAATGACTTCTTGAAGCTTCTTTTCAGGAACGTCAACTTTTTCTTGCTCTTCAATGATACCCTTCTCTACAGCAACTTCTTTCTCTTCACTCTCTTCTTCCTCTTCCTCCTCCACTTCTTCAATATCTTCTCTCTCATCATACTCATCTTCATGCTCTTCCTCTTCCTCACCATCACCTTCCTCCTCTTCTTCATCTTCTTCTTCAATTTCCCCCTCAACTTCTTCTTCCTCTTCCTCCTCCTCTGCTAATGCCTTTTTAGCATCAACAGTCTCATCCTTTTCTTTCTCTTCAACTGGCAACTTTTGAACTTTCTCTGATTGCACAGTATCCAAGAAATGTTTGTGTTCAGCTTCACCACTGTGTACTGAATCTTCAGTATAAGGCTCTTCTTTTTCAATAATTAAATATTCATCATCTTCAGTAAGTTCTTGGCTAGGTTTTCTTGACGTTGATTTACGAGGTATCTCATCTATTTCTGCTGTCACATCATCTTCAGTCATATCTTCTTCTTTTTTATCAACCGTCTCATCTTCCTCCTCTAATTGAACTTTTCTTGCATCATTGATTCGTTCAGCTTTTTGTAGGACAGCTTCAATTTCTTCGACAACTTGACGTTCTTCTTTTAAATCAGCAAGGACTTTACTTTCAATAGAATCAAGTGACATATCTTCGGATCTTTCTGTCAGACACTTATCGATAAATTTCGTTGAATCAACTTCAATCGCTGAAGGAGTTGATACTGTTGATGAATCAGCCGTTCCTTTTTCTGCTTTTATTTTCCTTACAATATCATCTTTCTCAGATTTTATGGATGATGTTGGAGTGCTTTTGACCGACTTGATAGGACTTCCTGTCAATCGAGCTTTGCTTGGACTAGATATTGGTTTTGGACGACGAACTACTGGTTTTTTCTCTGCTGTAGTTGGTGGTGGTGGTGGTGTTGGTTTTGGCTTAGCGCTCATTTTCTCTTTATTCTTCTGCTCTAGAACTTTACGATTATTAGCTTCCTTAGCACTTTTAGGAGGAGGTAGTGATGGCTTGGTGGCAGGTTTGCTAGATGCTTTAGGAATTGGTGCTTTCGATACTTCTGGTTTCTTTGGTATTGGTGCTTTTGCTTTCTTATCTTCCACCTTGACTTCAATCTTCTTCATTTTTGGTGCTGCCTTAGCTTCCTTAACATCTTTAACTTCCTTTTCCTTCTTCTTCATCTTAATCTTTGGCTCGCTAACAACCATCTTATTTTCCTTAGGCTTAACTTCAGCTTTCTTAGTTTCAGGTTCTTTATCTTTAATTACCTCCTTTTTAACTTCTTTCTTTATTTCTTTATCAACTTTCTTGGACTCTTTCGTCTCAATAATTGTCTTTGGATAATCCTTTATTTCATCAATCTTTTTATTCTCCAAGGCACTCGTTTTCTTTATTTTCACAGGCTGAGTCTTGGCACTCTTTACATCAGCTTCATCACGACTTGGTTTCTTAACATCAGCACGTTTAGTTTCCTTGTCAGTTTGGCTTATTTTTAGCTTAGTTGATTTCTCTTTCAACGTAATCAACGATGCTGTTGGTGATATACTTTTAGATGTACATGTTGGATGTTTTAAAAATTCAAGGTGTTTCAATCGGTCGACGCCTTCGAAGATCTTATGTTGTGGTGTACTTCCTGGGAAGAGAATTCTCGTGATTGTGTCTTCAGGATTGGCAGGTTGCCAAACTAGAAGTGCACATATTGATACCATATTTTGTATTGGAAACACTAGATTATTTAAGTCTTTTTTTTGGGAACCAGAGAATAGCTTCAGATCACTGGCATTCCATTTAGCAAGAAATTCTCGTACTTCTCGGCTGTCTTTAGATGGGCTCAGTACATACATATCTAGAGTACCGTGACCTACTTTGTGATAAAGATTTATCGGTTCGTTGTCTCGATAGCAGGGATGTGGACGTAAGTTAATGTGTTTCAAATTCACCATCATCTCTTGACCAAGATCAGTTAGGCTTATAATCAAAGGGTCAAGGTCTTTATCGCCGTCTGGTGAATTAGAATGCTTGCGTTCGATTAAATTACAGAAAAAATGTCCTATTTGTGGATAGACATGCATTTCTTTTTTCTTACGCAAGACACTAGTCATACCACCAACATTACTGTTATTCAATCGAGTAAATAAAACAGCGTCAAGTCGGTCTAGATGTCTTGTGAAGTCCCAAAAACATGACTTTCTGGCAAAGCCTCCATCCACTAGCATATTGAAGCCATTTATACCAAAAAGTGCAGCGTCACCTTGACCTCCAGGGAAGACATAGAGCGTCGGATGACTGAATCGAATATTGCCTACCACATCAGATGGTTGCATTAACTGGTCTAGTGTTTGTGCCACTAAATATTGCTCGATGTAATTTATAAAATTTGTAATTGCTGGTATTCCTGATGTCAAAACATCATCAGGATTCAATCGAACTCGGCAAGCTCTATTGAATAAATAAATAAAAAAAATTATTTCATTGCTAGAAGATGTTAATTATATTCAAGAATGTTTGTTGGAAATAATTAAAGTACCTTGTGCAAGGTTCTTTTGTAAGACGATTCGTAGACCATTCGCCTATCCCTGCACAATTGATATCTACAGTAACAGTATTCTCGTAAGCTCGAAGCACTCGTTGCACGTCATGCTCACTTAACGCATCCACAAAGTCAGCTAAGCTGAAGGTTCCATCCTGACAAAAAAAAAATGTTGAATAATGGCAATAAAATATTTGATTTGATTGAATGATATTTTGGTTGGAAAAGGTATCTTGTCATTTGGTTCAATACTATGATAAGTCTAAATACCAATGATGTTTGATTGATTATTTGAGATAATTCTCTTTCTTCCAGACACCATGGGTCTTAATAAATAATTATTCATTCAATTAATTGTTCCACTCAATCCATCTAATTCTCTTTGATGTTAGAAAAGACTTTGCTTCAAAGTATTAAACACATTGGATCCAATCAAAAAATGATAACAAACCAACACTCTAGACAATTCTATCTAAAATCATTCAGATGCAATGAAAAGGTTGTTGGACGATCAAATATTCTATCACGACTATTCTAAATTCCTATTTTAATTTTTTTCTTAGTGTACCTATTCTTTTAAACGAATCAGTGAATATTCACTAATTATCAGTGCTTATTTAATCACTGAATAATTAAATGACTTGATTAGCACTGAAAATCAGTGAATAATCACTGAGAAACTTGTTAGACAATAAAATATTTGATATTAATGATTAAAAACAATCATTCTTGTTCAACTTCTTGGATAAAATACCACCTATTCGACGTCAAAATCGATTTATAAATTTTTAAAACCATTTTTAATATAACATACTATTATTCCATCGCTGAAAATAATTATGAATGACGTACCTGCAATACCCATGAACCATTTTCTTGGAATGTGTACCCAGCATGAATAATGTGACGGTGCTTTGTGAAGCTGGCGAGAAGATTTCGCATACATTGCAGAAGAGTATTAGTTTGAGGATGTATTAATATCTCAGTAACAAGATTTTCCGTTGCATATTGAATCAGTCGTTCGCCTTTAAAAAAAAAATCATCATTTAAAATATTTAAAAAAAAAAAGGTCAAATAAATTTTTTAAAACCACAATGGATAAAAATAATTAAAATACCATTTCTAGCTTCTTCTCCTTCTGGTGATTGAGCAACCAAAGCATGTAATTCTTTTTCTAAATCAACATGACAACTATCTTTATCCCATGATAGAAATCCTAAAACATCATCAACACATATCAAATGAGTTAAATCAATTTAAATTGAAACAATAATATAAATATATTAATTACATAGTATTTATTTCAATATAGAGCTTCTAAAGAGAATGTGAAGCGATCGATTCGGCCCACAAGGACCACGTGATGGGGGTGCGGTGACTATGACGTCACCGGGACCGCCCTTAGTAAAACAGCGCAATCTCTATAATTATTTTTACTGATTAACTCGTCTCAGGGCATTAAAAATTCAAATAATTATACTTTCGAATTTAATAACCAACTAACAATTAACATAATTTATTTAAATAAATAATTCATCCAATTAATCATCAGTTGAGTTTAAAATTAATTTCACGACACATTTCTAATCATAAAAATTAATATTTCTGATACATAAAAGTGAAACTTTGATGACTCAAGGCCAGGTTCAAGAACAGAATAACAACGACTGACATTCTTGAATTGGGAAGAGCGAAATAACGTTTTAGAAAAAAAGTAAATGCACGTACAAAGTATGAGATGAGGGGAACGGCCGAATGCCATGATAAATTTAGCCCTATCTTTATACACTTGCTGTCAGAAAACTCTCCCCTTTAACAATCTTTTTATCACTGTAGCTCTCACAGAATCTCTAGTATTTTTAGCAAAATCATTCACTAAATTCAGCCATCAGCTCTGATGATAAAAGAATAAAAAAACTGAATCAGTAAAAATTACTGAAAATCAGTGACAATGAAATTATTGATTTGATTATCACTGGAAATCCGTGAATATTCACTGATTCTTTGAAGAGAATATATGTGTATATATTTGCGGCAAATTCTATATATTTTGAGTATATTTTCATGGACGGTAATTTGACGGAAATAATAAAAGATTGTTGGTACCTTTGGCAAGTCGATTGAGGATGAGTTCTTTATGTTGTGCGGTATGAGGTTCAGGAAGCACGATTAGTAGATAACATCCACTGAGAGGTGAGGGTGGAGGATGCTGTTGTAATCCAGTCGTCACTGATGCTGTACTAGTTGGTGTTATGCCGGTAGCCATGCTGTCTGCCGGTTGATTAGCACCAGCTGACTTGTCTTCTTGATCATTCGCTTTGTCCTTTGGATCCATCGTACCCATCGCTGAGTAAATTTGAAATAAAAGATGCTTTTAAGTTGGATGTACTCTTATTGGATTCTCCTAAGTATTCGATAGCGACCCGGCGATTTTTATTGCGCAGAATCCGCAATGATTCAACGAATTTCTGTTAGCGATTGCGTGAAAAAGAAGTTGATGATGAAAAGGTTCTTTTTTTTTGTTGGGCAAATTTTCTGGATTAATTGCATCACCTTTTTTGTTTGTTGGTTGGTTAATTATTTGATAATCCAGAAAGATGGTTGGTCTAGAAGCTGGAGGGTTTTGAAATATATAAGCCAAATTGAAAAGATGAAATATTGATTTGCCGGCTAACAATCTAGAACTTTTCACTGCAGTCAATGGTGATGGAAACTTGTTAATATTGATGATTTGATTGTTAAATATTCAATTTGATAATTGAAATTGATTTTTTGATTTATCAAGAGGGCTTTCTTTCTTTTTTTATGTCAAAACAAATTAAAATTTCAGTATGTGAGTCATCCCCATTTCTATCTTGGTTGCGGCAACGTAGCCCTTAGTAACAACCCCTCCCAGATTCATCCGGTCGTTTTTCCTTGATAAAAAAATATTATACACACTATTTTCCTAATTTACATCTAAAAATACCTTGATTTATTTCTGATACTATCTACTGTCTAATCAATCTAAAAAAGAAAAAAACAAAATATAAACTCATTTAATAAAACCATAAATTAATTTTGAAAGTAATTTATCAAATAAAAAATAAATATATAAATGATTTTAAACACTTACTTGACACGATGATGAGTTGAAGATATCAGCAAGTTGATGAAGAAGATCCACTACATCCAATGAACAAAAAAGGAAAAAAAAGATAAAAAAAATTGAGTTGACCAGAAAGAAGAGCAGCAGCAAATGGTTTAATTGGTAGATAAAGTGTGGTGTCGATGATAAATTGGAGTTTTAAAGCTTTTATAATATTTAATTAATCCACTGGATTCACAATAGTCTAGAATGTACTTGATGAGAAGCAATATCACTAATAAAATATATAGAGAAAAACTAATGCCACAATATATATATATATATATATCTATATATATGATATAGCCTGTAAAAATTTATTCAGATATTTAATTAACGTTCGACGTAGAACTTCGAGGAAGCCCTGGCAGCAGCTCACAGTGAGGGCTGCCGGCTCTCTGACCGGGTGCGATGAAGCCCTTGCGCTGGTTTCACGCAGGGAGTTCCCCTTCCAAGACCAACTTAGCGACGCAGTGACATTATCCTCAACGGCTCTCCCACTCCAGGTCTCCAACGACATTTCATTGGTTGACGCGTGTCAAGATACCGAATTGTTCTGTCTTCGATCTATCTAGTGTGTCTTGTTTAATCCAAAATCGTACAATTCAAGTGACGTTCATCAGTATAGGTATATCATCAAAACCCGCTAGTTTGGATATTGATACTTTAGCACCGGCCGTCGACCGCTTCTTAATGTCCTAAATCTCCACGTGCTTAATGACATGTGCCCATTGTATGTTGTATGCTTTTGGAATAAAGATTACATTTCATCAGCAGCATATATGAAGGATATCAATAACATATAAGGCATTCCGTCTGGTGATGTAACTTGGATTGTATAACGGAACATCCAACGAAATCTTATATTAGTTTATAACACGGCTTTTATGCTGTTTAAAATTATCTAGAGACTTAGGCTTGGTATTGGAGCAGTAACCAGTGTTTTTTCAAGAAGGATAAATGTTTTGTTTGTATAACAATGAAGGCTTTTTAATTTAATTTGTTAAGGCTAGGCTTTACTTCAAATTTATGTCCTATTAGCAGCAGCAGAAAGTATCTGAAAAATAAAATGATGAAATACATCTTAATTGTTGCATTTTAATATGGAAAATTATTTTATTTATAATCGAGAAGGTGGCAAAGAACCCCAGTTAACAATTCTTTTCAGCAACAATTTAGTAAAAAAAAAAAATAATCAGTTATTTTCTATTGAAACATTGGAATATTAGCTCACTTACCTACTTGTTTTACCCCTTATTTGGCAACAAAAAAAAGTCATCGATACACAGGTTCAATTATTGTGGGGACAACTGACATTACGCAGTGTTGCCATACTCAAAAAAATTTTTTTTTTGCCATGTTATAAATCCAATAATAAGTTTGATGTCATTTGCTGTAAATTTGACGTGAATTAATTTATAAATTAAATTTTTTCCTCTTAGCAACACTAGGAGATTATATTTTTGTCACTATTGATAGTAAAAGTATGGATTTTAAATGATAAAATAACCTAAAATTGTCAATCTAAATTATATAATTAATTGTGGCATTAATTCTATAGAAGAGGAAGTTTATTGACTTTTGTCCAACCTTTTACTTATTTGGATTGGACAATAGCTGAATAAAAAATATTAAACTTCTTATTATTCCTTAGCTAACTATCATTCTCATTACTTATTGATGATTATTATTCAGGTTAAAATATTATCCAGTTAAAAATATACAAGTCTAACTATTCCAAGTGGTTGATAATACTTGGACCCTACTGTATATTCTCCTTGAACACCTAGTCTTGGTCTACTTATAGACAATAATGATCTAAAATAAGTTATTACAGCTGATTAGTGGATAAATGAGTATTGATCAGTAAACAAGTAGTTGATACTCATTAAATTTTACCGCAGCAAAAGGTATGATGACTTTTAAAACATATATGTAGATGTCTCGGCGGCATAGCACTTCCTGTTTACCCCCACCAATGTTATCTGCGACGTTAGTATTGACCGGCAACTACTGCTGGCTGCGAAAACATAGAATCCTTGGTATAGACATTTTTTACCGATTGCGCCAGTCTGATACAAATTACTTTTTATTTTTTTTTACTTACTTCAGACAAATCCAACTGGCAGGATGAATAGGCATGCTATATTTTTATCAGCTGCATTAGGCTTTGGATACTCCACTATCTCCAACCAGCACCAGGATTATCTCCAGCTGTCAAAAGAATAAGCTAATTAATAAACCAATTGATTAATTTATCTATAAATAAAATAATAAACTAGAATAATAGGTTGTTATTGTCATTCATGATGATATTAACTGATAGTGTCTTCATAAAATTATCAGTCTTACTCATCAACTCTTATCAAATTTCCCTCATCAAGTCAGCAATGCTCCACAATTATCCATAGCTCAACCATCAGCGCAAATAAATGCTCATTATTCCAATTAATCAACCATTCTGTAATTAAACTGTTGAGAGACTGCTGTCATTAGCTTGACAACTTGCCACCTAGCTAGTTTATTCATCAAAAATACCTGTGTATCATGATTCTATCAAAAATTGTGCTATTCATCTTGAAGCTGATGGGACTTGCACCATTTTATATCAAAGTTACCCATCCAAATACTCCAATGCCTATCAAAGATAAGCTGCTAGAGTTTCATAGATCACATTGTGCCTTTTTTTACAACATCTTCCTGCTGTTTGGTTCAATCATTACTTTCTCACTGGTGGTGATATACTTCTCGACCTTTCTAGTCTACTATGAAAGTGAATTTGATTCTATATCAGAAATAGTGATGAATGTTCTAACATTCCTGACTGTCTGTTTGATCTGGCTGACAGTGATAGTCAAGCAGAAAGTGATAGTTGACATAGCCAATGATCTAGCAACTGTTGACATCAACTTGTCCCTGCTAGGCTTGGATTCAGTCTCCAGAGGAAATCAGACCAACAGTTTTATCCTGTTCCTTCTTCTCGCCATCATGTGGAGCACCACCTTTATCATCCAGGCTATTCATTGGACTTGGGGTATCATGAACACTGTGGTGAAAGTCCTGATGGTTCCTATATCATTCTTCGTCATGGAATATGCAGTGATAATCAACATTATGGAGAATAAATTCAAAAGTTTGCATAACAGATTTTTGTTTATGGTTGACAAGGATTTTTCAAGAGAATCCCAGATGATGTTGCGGTTGCCTTATGATAATTGTAAATTTATCTACTTTATTGCTCTAAGGAGAACTTATACATTGCTTTATCAGTGTGGCCAGGAAGTGGAAAAGAATTATTCTCTTATTATATTAATTGTTTTAGCCTTTTTACGAATTTCTTTCTTTTATGTCTGCGCTGTAGCTGTTGGAGAAGCTTTTGTTAGTCAAAAAGAATGGTCAGTGTTGGTAAATATTGGAGGTATTATTGATATTATTATTACCTTCTCTCCAATGACAGCATTGTCATTATCTGTTACTAAATTTCAAAAAACGGTAATTATTTATTTTTATTAAATTATGATCAATATTCTCTTTTGACTTATTTTTATAATTCTTGAACCAATAGATGAGCGACACTGGCAGGATGACTCAAGAATTGTTGATATATTATATTAATGATCATGAAATGATATCCGAGGTAACAAAATTAACTCTAATAAAATAATTTTTTCCTTCAATTAAATGATTAACTATTTATATTTTTTTATTTAAATGCAGCTTAGAATATTTGCTATCGAGTTGATTGAAAGAAAAATAAGTTTCATGGCTTATGGAATTTTTAACTTGGATTCTTCTCTAATATTATCCGTAAGTATATTAACTATTTTACTTATAATTGCACGAGATAAATTTTTACACTAATAACAAATATTTTTTATTTCAGGTGCTAGATGTTACTTTAACTGATCTGATAGTTATTCTGCAATTTAATATGAAGCAGAGTCATACTAAAGAAGAAGATTATGTAGATTAAATATTTTATTTATAGTAAATAACAAATTAAGGTTCAAAATAGATTTAAACTCCACTAGAAAAAACCTGTAAGTAATCACAAATTTCTATTTCGAATTTAAATTACACATTAATCTCTGTTTTATCGACAATAGCAATTTATTTTATCGACTGATACCATATATCAACACGAACCTACTTTATCAACCGTCGTATATACGTGTATTACTAATACGTGATAATGCAGGAATTTTTAAAATTAAAATATTTATTTAATACAACATTTAAAGTTTAAAAAATTGCAAAAATTATTTAAATTGTTATTAAAAAAATTATTTATTAGTATTTATGTGTTTATTAATAATCTTGGCAGTGAATAGATGACATACCAAGATTACAAAGCATTATTTTGTAGTAAATAAATATTTTTTTTAAGGATATTCAAGAATAATCACGTTTCTTGGTGTCTTAAGATTATTCAACATAATCCAATCCAAGTGCATAGAAAACTAAATTTTACAGAGGAAAATAATGAATGTCTAACAATTCATGGTATATATTGTAGACATTATTGTTTTGTTGACAGTGAGAAAAAGAAGCTTAGTGATTCATTGTCAGACTTGACTTGAATCCTTTGTGACTATTATACTCACTCAATCATACTGTTCTGGTAGTAAATGAGCATCACCTTTAATCCATATTAAATGATGTTGATTGACATAGTGAACTCTAGAAAACTTTATTTTATCTTCTGCAATATTGTTTTTTTTCTCTTTCAAAATAATTTGCATTGACATTATTTGTCTTTTTTGTTCATGATATTTGCCTTCAAGTTATTTAATAATAATATTTTTTCTTTATTTGAGAATAAAGATATTTAATATCTGACAACACTAAAAAATTCAGTGGAAGGTAAAAAGGTATGTAGATGTAAAAATCTTTCTTTTTTCCTTTCTTTTTTTTCCATTCTTATTCTCATTCCTGTTGACAGATACTACCTTTTCTTTCCCCCCTTAAAACCGTAACAAATTTTATAAACGTCCCATCATACCTACCGCGTTGAAGATCTTCCGGTGTCTGCAGCCGTTTTGCCATTGATTTTCCAGAACAGCGTGTGGGGCGAAGAGTTTGAAGAAATGAGGTCCGTAAAATTTTTAATTAAACTCTGAGATCAGTTAATCCCCACAATGTAGATTCACGCTAAAAAATATAATTTGTTTGATTATAATTAATGTTGATTTGTTTTGTTCAATAATTTTCATTGTTACGCATCATAGATAATTATTTTTAATTGAAAAATATTCTATAACGATTATCAATGTAATATATAAACATAACCTACATTAAGATTAAATTTTTAAATAAATAATAATAATTATTCTTATCTCGACTTTTTACAAAATTATAAAACTATTGATCAGTTTGTTTACATAATATTTTGATTAATTTATGCCATTGAGTTCAATTGTTAACCTCACTTTTATTACAACAATTATCTATTACACTATTATTACTGCACCGACACTATTAGTCTTTGTTTTCCGATGTGTGTACCAATATTTTGAATATTTTTACACACTTATTACGTTAAAACAATAAATAAAAAATGCACAGTGTGACAAAAAAAATTTGAGTCAATTGGAGGTCTCCATAGTCCAACCTGAAGTTAATCTATGTAATAAAAGTGTAAACAATCGATATATCGATTTTAATCGAATCAATTACGCATCAATAAAGTTGTCAGACAATCGATATTGTGATCCAATTCCGAAAACACAATTTTGTATACATTTATTACTGCTCAACAATTTCTTTTAAATTATTATCTCCCATCTAAAGAATTTTTTACACTTAAAAGTCTATTTTGAAACAATTAATAGTGAAAATAAAATGGAATTTAACCTTTAAATATGAAATACTAGAGTACGGAAAGAATGAACAGATGATGGTGTGTTGTGTGAAAGGAAAACAGGAAAGTAAAAAAGATATTAGATAAAAATACAAAAGAGGGTAGACAAAATGAGGTAGCTCGTAAATCTACAAGTTATGTCGAGGATGTTGAATAGGTGTAAATGAAGTTGCGACTCAGCGGTTCTTTTTTACCTCGGTTCCATCAGTGGAGACCACCCTAGCATATGTATCATCATGAAAACCCAGAAGATCTGAATAAAGTCGCACTCTCTGTGGTCGTCGAGAGACAAACTTGGTGAAAGACGATGATGATGACAATGCTATCTTCCAAGTCTTCCACTCTAACTTGTGATGTGGTTATTACTTTCATCTTCGTCTTTTAATACTTTAGGACGGTGGTCTCTCTAACTTTTGCCGCCACGCCCATCACTAACGCCTAAATGGATCGAGGGCATAAGAAAATGTTGAATACCTGAGGTACTAGAATCACCAGCCGTCATCTTCAAGGTGGTCTCATTTGATAGTTTGGTATGGAATATATTCAGTGTGTGGTGGTACTACATGGAATCAAGGAAATCATACCGATGGGAAGAAGAAGAAGAAAAAAAACATCATCAACAACAACAGCAATCCAGGTGCTAAATCCTGTTAATTTATTTCCAGTTTTAATCGTTAATAAATTAAGACCAAGAGAATTAGCTATTAACTGAATTCCTCAACACACATTAATTATTCCATTTGATGATGATAAAAGAATTTTAATGTTTCATTGATGATGCTGATGATGATGGAAAGCAGACCAGGTCATTTGATCAGTCACTTTTAGGAGGTTGGAGTTGAATAATCCAAGTGCAATGATGAAGATGAGTGCAATGGTAGAGCAACACGGAAGGAACAAAGATGATACAAGTCAGTGTAACGTTGGAGATGAGTGAAATTAGCAAGAGAAAGAGAGTAGATAAGTTCTTTAAGATGCTGTGAAAGAATCTTGAAATGATCTGTAGGGCGGGTATGAGTTTCAGAGCAGGCGGAGCTTAAACATCTCCACGCCTCCATCATCCTTACCTACCACGTGTGTTTAAAACCGGTCAACTCAACTGAAAATGATCCCCAACATCAAAGATCTAGATCAAGATCAAATATTCAAAATTGAATGACTAATCGTATCTGAAAATAAATAGCTGCTTCTTCATCCAGACCATGAGCTAGAGATCATTGCCGTGAAACTCATATCCGGCGTCAGTTTATTCAAAGAAATACCGGAGTCACAGTTTAATCCGAAAAATTATAAAAGGCTCACCCCAGAATGCCTCCCCTCCTCTCTAGGAATGATGTCAAAGAATCGATGAGAGAAAAAATTATGAAAGCAGGACAAAAAGAGCATACTTGTGAACGAGCAGCAAACCTAAGATGCTTATGTAGAGGAGGGAGATTTCGAGAGGCTGACCGTGGAGGCGGAGCGAAATTTAATCGTTCCCAGAGGAGTCATTCTGGTGGTTGCACTAGTGGAGGGATGGGGCTCACCAAAGATCGACTCTTCCGTGAAGAAACGCGTGCAGTCGCTAGCCAAAGCCTATACTTGTCCGTCGAAGAGTTCATTGGTTCTTTCCTAGTAGCATCAAACACACTTGATCCAACTCATTATTTCAAATTACTTTGATCTGTTAATACGCGATATACTTTAGACTATCAAAGTTTGTTAATACTTACCACCTATTGCTGTTACCATTCATCATTATCAACCCCTGTTGCCTATTGTATTGAACTTGTCATCACCTGGGGCCGGCTTTAGGGCAACGCTATCCCAATTCATCAACCCGGCCTTCCAAAAAGGAGGGGTGCTTTTGGGTAAGACCTAACTTTAACATCCAGTCCACCCGTCAGTCTTGCTGAAGTATCCAAATACTTTAGACACTTTTTGCTTATCCTGTGCAGCAGCAGAACCTAAGTGTAAATATGAATCAATCTGGACTTTTGATAGACTCTCCTTGGCAATTCAGTGACTAATTATTCTTAATCATTATTACCAACCATCTAGACTTTATTTTAATCGTGAAATGGTGATATGACATTGTTGATAGTGGTGTGATATTAGTGACCAGTGAATAAAAAGTTTCATCAAAGAAACATCTAGAAGTCTATCTATCCAAACTTGAACTGTTATTGGTTGAATATAAAAGAACTAATCATGAAGTTGTGGTTGATATTTGGTGCTATTGCTATAGCAATACCTCCAACATTAGCAGAAATAAGTAGAAATAAAAATCGTGGAAGAGGATCCATGTGGTGGTGAGTAATCTTTCTTTAAAATTCCAACATGTTATCATAATCCCAGTAGTTGACTTTATTGCTAGGTATCTGATTTAAATAATTCAGTTGTTTATCTCTCAAGAATGTTCTCCTGAAAGTGAAAGACAATTTCTAGAGAAAAAAAAACGAGCTCCCAAAAATAACAATGCAGGAAGCTCTTTTATGGCTAAATTGTTTACGAGCTACGATTAACATAAATCACAATGTCTTACTTTTTTGTTTCATTTGAAGTTTAAATACACGGTATAACATTAAAGTCGTGTGCCTTGTCCAAAAGGCATTCCTTGAACCAGTTTCGCTTTTCGAATTAATCCACTTTGGATCCTTCTTCTTTTCTTCTATACCGATGATTAAATTCTTCACAATATCTTCTCACGTATCAACTGTCTCATACAATATATACCAAGGCAAAGTGTGCCTCCGCTTTTGGACAGGCTTGAATAAATAATCAAATCATTATGAAGCCACATCAATAATAATTAAAAGGTTTGGATCTCCAACATCCACATATGTATACTTACTCTTTCCCACGATTATTTTATTTAATAATTCATTATTCATTTGGTTTATTTTATTTATATCATCACAGGGGCATTGCCAAAGCTGGAGAGCCCAACAATTTGTTACCAATGTCACCAGCATCATTACACATGGATCCAGCTGTTTATGCAACACTACGACGAAAACAAAGACGTCTGGCACGTGAAAATCCTGGTGTACTGATGGCTGTTGCCAGGGGTGCTAACCAAGCCATTATGGAGTGTCAACATCAGTTCAGAAACCGTCGGTGGAATTGTTCAACAAAGAATTTCTTACGAGGAAAAAATTTGTTTGGAAAAATCGTTGATCGAGGTAAGATTTGTTTTTTCATTTTCATCTAGAGAGAGAGTTGAGTTCTTCTTTTTTTTTTCCTTCACTCATTCACATCCTGTGAATAAGACAATTTTTTAGATCAATAGACGGAAAAAAATTCTAGCATTTTTATGGTGTCTTTGAATGAACCTCATCATTATGAGTAGAAAATACTGAAGAGAGATAGAAATAGACTTGAGTGGAAAAATAAGTCTAATAATTTAGTTCATTCATTTTTTTTTTTTCTTCATTTTCAATATGAATAGAGATGATCTTACCTGTCAGCTTTGCCTGTTTCGTCATAGTCACGCCACTCTATTTCGAGTTTAACCATAAACGACTTTACGATGATCCATTGTAGCATCCGTAGCACGAACAACCCTCACAGTAGGGTGTAATCTTCTTCATTGCTTCTTATTTTACACAGTTATATACACTCACCAAGTCAAGCAAGAGAATAAAAAATACTCCTTCCTTCCTGGTGGTATGATTTATTCATCTTCTAGACAAAAGTGTGGCTTGGGTGATGACAAATCCATCAACTTGTCTCCTAATAAAGACATTTGGGTGCTTTGTTTGTGATCAATTGACAGGCCAGGTCACCAAATTAGACCATCATTTGCCTTTATCACTTTCAATTTGATGAAGGGAGAAAAAACATCACCAAGGTGTTAAAGAGTACTTCAAACTGTTAGAGAGAAAGAGAAAGAAGTTGTGAATAGGTTTAAAAAATCTGTCAAGTGTGTATTTAGGAATTCATCAAGTCACTCACGATAAAAAGCAGCCTAAAAACATAAATAAATTTATGAAGATGAAATAGGATATATAAAAAAGAGATAAATTGGTGAGAGATAATGGATAAGGACAGGATATTATAAAAGAAACTTTATAAAGAATGAAACTGTAGTTTTTCATGGGTGCCACATGGCACGTGCCTGGGAGTACATCATCGTCGGATGTGTGTTTTGCAACCTGATAATGGATCTCGTTTCTCTATACACACTTTTATACTCTTGTATATCGGCTTCTTTGCCTTTCCTCCCTACACTCACTCTCATCACATGGCTCATTTACATCTCGTGTTCGTATTAGATCACCCTGAGCTTATTCTCAGGCTTCTTTTTACAATGAATTAATGATTGAATTAACTCTAAAAATCAGTGAACAGTACACTGAAAAAAAATCCATACGTTCACTTTAAATATCACTTCTTCTTTTAATCCAATTGTTTGATAATATTTTTTAAAATAAATTTGTCATCAAAATGGATCCATTGCTAGTGTAGATAATTATTAACTGGCCTGATCAGTATCTCATGTTTCCCCTGGAGTTGCTTCATGATGAATTACTCAACCAGATGTTGTAGAAAAAATTATATCTGCAATATAATGAAATTTAGAAAATAAAATATATATTGGAGCAAAATATTCTAGAAAACAGGTTTTAAAACTGAAACATGTTCCAGACATTAATCACGATTTTTTTTCTATTCATTTTAGTGATTTTTTGAGGATGCAGTTCTTGTGTACTTGGTTGGAACAACGACTGGAGATGAATATCTCTAGTATATTACCGGTATTTGATGTATTTTAACATGCTGAAATTGAATAGGGTATCATAATAAACATGCACTAAACGATCATTCACCTTTATTATTTAAATTTAGGAAACAATTAATAATTATTAGCTTCGGTTATCAACCTGTTTTCTAGGATTAAATGATGAAATATTAATATCTATCTGTAGTTATTCAGATATATTTTTTTCAAAGTAAAAATGATAATCTAAAGTCTTTTTTGGGGTGTTTGTACTTGATATTATTGCTTGGTAGTGAGTTCTTTCGCAATCTGTAATCATTTTGCCGCCGCAAGCCACCTACCGCAACGTTTACCACAACCACTCACCTTTTCAGCCTGGACCTCTTCATTTTAAAATCCTTCCCACACCTTGAACACCATGTCAGCCACCATCATTTTATTATTATTAATTGATTAAAATAAATGAACAAAAAATGATTGATCATATTCTTCTTGCATAAACAGTTGGAATTTTATAAATAAACTCTGATGAAAGTATATTTATATCTCCTGAATGTTGATATTTCTAATCACGTCTTCATTAAGTTGATGAACCCTAAAGAGAAAGGATGGTGTATGCATTTTATTCGCGTGCTCTGAATAATTTTGTTCAACTTCTACTCAATATATAATCGGCCATTTATAGAATAAATTCAATCAATACCTGTCTCCATGGTACGGGGTATCAAGTGCTTCTTATATGGTCCAAGACAGCTTCTTGCACTGGCGTGATGTCGCCGTAAATCGTTACCTATGATGGGCTACATGTGTCGACGGCACGTCACGGTTTCTTGCGAAAACGTGAGCCGAGATTCAAGTGTATACTCCTTTCCTCTGATTTTTACATCTTGTTTGGTTTGTGTTCCGTCATCATTTCATTCAATCTCCAAGCAAATCATTTTTTCTCATCATTCATATCTAATAAAAGTTCATTATCAAATGATGTTTTACTTTCTCACAATATATATCATCATTTTAATATCTAATAAACACTAATTTACCACCTGGAATATTTCCTAATGTTCCCAAAGCTTGCCAGACAATTCTAAAAAAATGTTGCTTCGTTCCTGTTCTTTCATCATCAAATACCAAAGGACTTTTGACATTTTTCTGAACAATTCCACCTTTCTCTAGCTATTAGCAACAGGTTAGTTTGACTTTTCCTCAAGAATCCAAAGCGATAAGAGTCCATGGACCACTAGAGTGACTACTGCATGGTCTCCATGGACGGATGTTCCAAGGTTATGGTCCCTATGAAGAAAAAAAAAATTCGTAACGGATTAAAACCTTTGTTGTGAATATTAGATACGCATGATTACTATGGACTCCCAGGTCGCATTCAATTCACCATCTTACGAGTGGAACAGATTTTCGACATCAGAAGCTTCACGATTATGAATATATTTTAAAACTAAATAAATCTATTCAGATTAACTTGTCTACCTGCTTATTATTACGGTGTTAAGAGAAATAACTTACCCAAACTCCTCAAGTCTATTATATTCCTAAAATTAACACTCAATAGAAACAATTATGTTACACCTTGGAGATCTTGCTTTAGATAATTACGTAAACGGTACCTGTGTGTGTGTTCCATGTTGTCTCCATTTGTTCATCCCTCTACCTAACCTGAAAATAGATAAAGAGGATAAGTATTTACAAAAGATATTGGATGATTGTCAATAAATAGATCATTTAGAGGAATAGCACACTAGTGGGATAATAAAATAATTGAAAGGAAAAAATGGGCTCGTGTGAGGAACGCGCGAAAAGGACGATTGGGTGGGCTGGCCGGTATACGAAACCTGTTTGCGGCGTGTCTTTAAGGATCTCGAAGAGAGTAGCAAGCCAAGGGACTCTTTCGTGATATCTTTACCGCTCGCTGAGTTGCAAAGACGCCGGTCAGCACCTGCTCCTTATGCAGATAAGGTCGGGATGCCGTCGGTTGGGTCAAAAAGGTATAGAGGTTAAGATCATTCTTTACTTACACCTGTTGCTGAAGGAATAAACTTTTTTTTTCTGTATTTACAACTTACTTTCTCGAGTTTTATTCTTACCAATGGACCATCAGAATGAAAAGAAAGACGCAATAATTGTCTAGGTGTCACTACTTTCTATTTAAATGGCGCTTTGTGACCTTGAGCTATTTATTGGCAATTAGTTCAGCTGGCCGTCGCTACTGTCACTACTGTAATTGATGGCGTCGCAAAAACATCGGTTTGATTAGGTTATTTTTACAGCATTCGATCTTGAAAATTCGATTAATTTAACATCGTTTGTTCCGCCATAAGAGATGCACAGTCATCATAAAGCCACCGATCAACTGATCTCTTTATGGATTTGTATTTTTCTAACCGCAGGTTGCCGAGAGACCGCATTCATTTACGCCATTACCAGTGCCGCTGTAACCCACAGTATTGCTAGAGCTTGCAGTGAAGGAAGCATACAATCGTGCTCCTGTGATTATACCCATCAATCTCGATCTCCTTCTGTGATTCGTGACTGGGAGTGGGGAGGATGTTCGGACAATATTGGATATGGATTTAAATTCTCAAGGGAATTTGTTGACAGTGGTGAACGAGGACGAAACCTCAGGGAGAAGATGAATCTGCACAATAATGAAGCTGGTAGAGCGGTAAGTTATTGATACATATTTTTGGTAAATGATTAAGATTGATTAGGGGATTATCTTATACTTTTGAGGTTATATTTATTGACAGGAATTGTTTATGAATATACTTTGGCACACTGAATAAATTTCACTACATTAAGAAGAAAATTTCGGTACATGGAGAAAATTCATTTAAATGATTCAAAAACAATGTTGAATAATGGCAAATAAAATATTAAATTTAATTGAACGATATGTTGCTGATTAACAGTGCTGATTTAATCACTTAATGAAGTAATAATTGGATTGACATTAAAAATCAGTGAATAATCACTGAAAAAATGATAAAATATTCCATTACGACTATTCAAAAGTCAATTTAAATTAAAATTTATTATTTAATGCTATGTTACAGCATGTATCATCAGAAATGCGTCAAGAATGTAAATGTCACGGGATGTCTGGATCATGCACAGTGAAAACATGCTGGATGCGTCTTCCAAACTTCCGAATCGTCGGAGATAACCTGAAGGATCGGTTCGATGGTGCGTCTAGAGTTATGGTAAGCAATTCCGATCGTATTCGAGGTGGAAATGCAATCATCAGCAACTCTGCAAGCAACTCAGTACACGGTCCACGTCAAGGTCTTGGTCGACGACAACGTTATAACTTTCAACTCAAACCTTATAATCCTGAACACAAACCACCTGGTCTCAAAGACCTAGTCTACTTGGAAGCATCACCACCCTTCTGTGAGAAAAATCCAAAATTAGGTATCCTAGGTACTCATGGTCGACAATGCAATGATACTAGCATTGGAGTTGATGGGTGTGATTTAATGTGCTGTGGTCGAGGATATAAAACACAGGAAGTAATAGTTGTAGAGAGATGTGCTTGTACATTCCATTGGTGCTGTGAAGTCAAGTGTCAATTGTGTAGGACAAAGAAAACGATACACACTTGTTTATAGAAATGTGGTGGCCATTTTTTTTTTTTTATCATTTTTATCTCCATCTTCTTTCCTGGTGAAAGATTTGATTGAGATATTGTATAAATTATGCCGATAAATGTCATGGGAAATTCATCATCTCCCCGCATGCACTCCCAGTATTAATTCAAGGTTTTATTATTATTTATTGATGGCCGATTCATGGGCTGTAATATTAAAGACTGAAAGTATTAACGTACAGTTATGGTTTTATTATAAGTCGTTATAAAGAAAAAAAATCAATTAACTCAAATTAATTATCAATTAAATTATAAAAAAAATTTTTTTTTCTCTTTAGAAAAAGAAAATAACAGTTTGGTTACTTCTTTTTTGTTGTACCAACACTGTAAATTATTTTAATTCATACTATTTTATGTAATAAATATGATATTACTTGTAAATAACTAACTCAAAGACACGATTATCAAATAATTACATCTAATAATACTTGTACACACTTGTAATTTTTTTTTCTTTTTTTTTTTTATAAACTTATTTATTAATTTTTTTTTTATTATTATACTTTTTAGTTAGGGAAAAAAAACATCAACATAATGTGATTATGATTTTATTGTTTATTTACATGAATAAATTAACTTTGTAAATAATAAATAGGTATAATAAATTTTGTCTTGAGCTTATCGTATTGTATGTTTAGTTATAAGTGAGGTAAAAGCGCAGATTTGGGGCTTCAGATAATTTGTTTGAGTATTCTATACTTTACTATGGGCCCTAAAAGAAAAAGTAGAGTAAGAAGAACTACGAAAAGACGAGTACAGGAACGATTAATAATTTAAGTATTCACACAAGTTTGAGATAATTCAATCGGCGAAATATCTAGCCGATTAGCAAATAATAACTGGAAGGTCTCGGGTTCGATTCCCGGTCCTTGCAATAAATTTTTTTTTTTTAAATCGTCCTGCACAAGTCGTCGAGTCATTTATTTATTTTTTAAACTCTGAAGCCCCAATTCTAAATAATTATCATAAATAATGTAAAATAATCAAACACTCCGACCTGTAAATATTTATTATAAAATAATAATAATTATTTTTTTTTAATCCTGACATGTGGATATATTCCACTTTCAGAGAATCAACAATGTTATACGATTAATAAATAAAATAAGAAGACACTTTTTTAAAAAAAAATTATATTTTTCGATGCCAAATTTTAAGAATTGTCTCAAATAAATTAACACAGAGATTTAATTATTTTTAAAATAATTAAATAATCATTGTATGTAAATTGAAGCTTTTGCTTAAAAATACATTCCTCAATATTTTTATGTATAAATATAATTATACAAAAGAGTGTAAACTCGAAAAAAAAACTGTAATAAAGAACATATTTTAGTTTAATTGAACATGTTGTTAAAATAATTATTTCATTCCACTCATCATCAACAATTATAATCATTACATTTATTTAATTTTTTTAATTCAAAAAAGAACATTCTCGAAATATTCATGTATTTTCGACTAAAAAAGCTTTCAAATAAATGTCTTATCTTCTAATTATTTTAATAATATCTCGAATAATTTTCTTCTACTTGCTTAATGATGGTAATGGCACTGAAGTGGTATACTTGATGATAAGGTTGAAGAATTCCAATGGAATGTCTGTCGAGGATAAAAACGAGGATGGGAAATGTAGTTTAGGTTTCCTTTGTTGCAGTTATCTTATACCAATATACATTTATACTTCAACCATCTTCAATACCCTAGTGTACTGATGATCATTCCTATGATAAGGAGTTTGGAGACCAATACCAACAAACATTCCACCTTCTAAGTAACTCATGCCCATTAATGGACATTTTTTTGGTCTTATTTGAAGAACAAATACTTTAGAATTAATATCCAAGAGCATGTTAACCAACATAACTGATTTTTATAGAGGTCTTTATTGATCCAAGCCAGCATCAGGAGGTTGGTAAAAAAGATGTAATGTTGATGGAGAAAAAAATGTTTGAGAGTAAGACATAATAACAGTTTTCTTAAAGATAATGGAATGATCTCACAAAGGGTGAAAAACTGTTTAGGATATAAGTTTGCAAAAGGGTCGGCAGCATCATTGAATGGAGATCAAAGTGGCCGCCGTGAGAAGTCGAAGGCTGGCCAAGATTCTTGGTCTTGCTGAACGTTGAAACTCTCTGGATGTGTTGAAAAAAATTAAATAAATATTTACCCCAGCAGAAGACGAAGAAGAAGAAAAGTGAGGTTAGGTTTTTGATCCAACAAACAGCATAGTTTTGGATAAATGATGAAATAATCCATTCTGAAGTGAGGTTGAGGTGGAACAAGAGCAAAAGCTTGGTGCAGTGATGCTGTCAAGCTCGAGACTAACGTGAAAATAATTCGCTGTAAAAAGTTTTAAGGTGTAAATCAAGTAATTTATTGTTTTTTGCGATTGAAGGTAGAAAGACCGCCTTTCCATCCCGAAGAGAGAGTGAGTACTGAGTCTTTCGAAAAGCCCACACTGGAATGGTAGGAATCTTTAACAAGAGAACCTTCTACTTGGTCACAAACCAAGAACTTCGTGGGAACGAATATCGGCAGACGGGCGGGACCACACTGTCGAATTATCGGTGTTTTGGCGTGTTATAAGATTCCGCCTTGCTTCCGTCCTCTTCGTCTCTCATCTTCTCTGTAAGGTCGTCAGTCGTCCCAGAACTCCACGGAATCCACACTCAGAAACTGTGGGAACGCAAAGGACTTGCCCTGGAGCCTTGTTCTACTGTGTTCCGACGCCATTTTACTGTACTCATCTGTTTATTTTTTTTCACTCTGCTCTTCTTGTCGCGGCCTGGTTTAAATTCCTTTCTCATTCTCGTTCACTAATCTATGTTGAAAATGTGACCAATCGGAATGCCATTAACCTAATTGCATGCGAGCCACTTAATACTTTTTTCCCCCTCAACTTTTTCGTTTTGTCTTGTTCAACTTTTTGAACAAAAAATTCCAGATAACCGTAACATAAGAGCTTTTTAATCTATCTCTCGCTTTTTATGTCTAACTCTGATTGCATTCTGGATGATCTCCAGGGTAATTAAGAGCACTGTCGTCATCTTTAATACAAACCTCCGTAAGGCCTCCTTGATACAAAATTATCAAAATAAAATACACATTTCTATTGGTTCATTCCAATTTTCTGACCTTTTATATATCAACATGGAGGACTAACCTCACAATTATTTTGTGGTCTTGAATGGAATAAGGAATAAAGAATTTGGACAACGCATGCGCAGAAGCATCATAATATTTAAGGTTATGTTGACAAACATTAGAAGGATGTGAAAAAGTAAATAAAATTTTTGAAAACCATTTTGCATTCTTAGAAAAGAAAGATAAGAATAAAGAAGTTGAAAGTTTTAATAAACAGAAATGTACGTGGGAAAGAAAAACAATATTTTCCACCCTTTAAGATGATAATTATATGTTATTATCTATGAGTGTACACAAAATTAAGGAAGCTTTTGATGTCTTCCTTTGAAATAATGCCACAGGTGTTTGATTTTTATCTAGTAATCTGTAACTATATCACACTTTTTTTCTAAAATAAGCTTATTCATCACTAAACAAATGCCAATGCATTATTCTTGTACTTATCACTCTAATACACGACAGGTGCATTTACCTCAGGTATAACCTTAATTACCACTATATGACAACATAATTATAACCTAAGATGTCACGGAGATCCACCTTAAGGAATGTTGCCGTTGAATAAAATATGACTGGTAAAATTTTGTCATAAATCATTCAACACCCAGTGTTTTAACTATTTCATTAATTAATTTATTAATAATTAACTTCGTATTAAAATGGCAATAAATTACATGAAAAAAATTTATATCAGCGGTTAAAAAAAATGTTCAATGTTGGTAATAAAATATGTGATTTAAGTGAATTTTCTTCGGTTCTTTTAGATTTAAGTGAATCAAAGTAGATCTAAAAAATGATATTAATTATTAAACTAGAGGTCTTGAAGACAGGCCATAGAAATGGCTTCTTTACTTCACGCACCTACCACCATTGAGTGGAAGCTCAATCAGCCTTCTTGGCTGTCTATTGTTTATTTAATACACCAAAATTATGTAGCTAATAATATTGGGATCAATATGTAAATAATTAAATTCCACAAGTTGCTCTTCAAGTATCTATAGAATAAAGAAATATTGCAACTATTTAACCAAAAACATTTCATTAATCAAAGTAATATTTGATAGTGGATGTATGTAGTCATATGATGGTGAAACTAATGAGGTATTTTCGTGCTAAATGAGAGAATGCAAAAATAGATTTTATGTGCTAGAATCTTCTGCATGAACAGGTGATATACGATTTGTGTTTACACACATCGATGATGACGAGGCAGCCTTTTCTTGTGCGTTACATCGTAAAGGACGATAGTTTACGAGCTGAGACTGTTTTACGGTTCGACAATTTCAAAAGCTTTATTCACGCCTCCGATTCTTATTCATTTCACTGACGTTTAATTGTGACACGGGATAATGATTCAATTGAATGTACAATATGGCAGTGTGTATTTAAAAAAAAAACTTTAACATAATAATTAAATATAAATTCATTGTGTTTGATGTTGAGAATTGACCATTCAGCTCAATTCAGAAATGTTAATTTCATCATTTTATAGCTTTAAATGAAAATTCTCGTCACGATCAACAGTGGACGTACGATAAAGCGAAATCGTGTTAAAGGGCAAACGTAAAGAAGCAAAAAGAGAAGATAGTACGCGAGGGTACATGAGGCCACCCGCTGTTCCGGGGTCTTGAACAAGCAGCGAAGCACACGATGCACCGGTTGGTAGATAGAGAAAGGTGTAGAGGAGTGAGAGGGAGGAGGCAAGCTCGTAGTTGACTCGTAATGTGAGCGTTGAATTATCGTTATTGATTCGTAATTATCAGAAAATAACTCAATAACCCTAAGATTATGGTGCACGGCGTCGAGCCACAATAAAATATCAATTTTGATAATGGTCGACGTTAAAGGAAGATGGGAGTGATTTTGACGCCTCTCTCAGTGCGGCCTTGCTTGGTAATTACGTATCTCGCGGAACACGGCGGTGGGTCTACATGAGACCCTCAAGCTTCGGCATATTCTACTCAACCTCTCCCATCAACTCCCTCTCTCTCTTATATTCATTTTTGTGATGGTTTTTGTTTATCACTTGAATATTATGGTGGTTTGTGATTGAGACTACAGCAGACCAGGCGTTATTTCATTAAAACTCATATTTCTTTGTTTAAAAATTTTTAATTACTCTCAAATGAACAGAGAACAACGGATAATTATTTAAACTTCATTGGTTTTTGCTCTCTTATGATGAATCAGTGAACATTACTGCTAATCAGTGACTATTCGATGATTGATTGACATTGAATCGAGATTTTTAATGGTCGTCGTGGAATATTTTATCGTCTAACAATTTTTTCAGTGACTATTCACTGATTTTTAGTGTTAATCCAATTATTAATTTATTAAGTGATTAAATTAGCACTGATAAGCAGCAAAAAGGAGTGCGAATCAGTGTCAACTCAATCATTGATCCATTAAGTGATTGAATTAGCAGTGATAATCAGTGAATATTCACTGATAATTATTTATTAAGAGCCATAAAATCATGATGATAATAAAAATATATAGTTGTGATGAAAATTAACACGTTTGCAAAATAGTTAAATTTTTTATACCCTGCACTTGTCCTGTTGTCTTTGTTTATGTTAGCTGTCCACCCACGTCCACCCACGTAGCCTGGAATATGGATACCTGCATTTAGTTCACGATGAGACATAGAGCAGATATACCAAGTCACGAAACATAGAATTTACTCACGGCATATTGCGTATCGTGGTACCTCCCACGAGGACATTGGACTCTTTCA